GCACCCCGCCCACTTGTGCGCACGCGCACACACACAAATTCCAAATATCCCCTTTTCTCTCCACAAATTTTTTCGTTAGAATTGGTTATGTAGGGATTCGTGTTTTCGGGAGACACAACGAGAGGCTGAGATTTCCTGAGCTTGCCTACTGTTCTCTCTCACGCCGCTCCCTCCTGACACTTAACATTGTCTGATTGTGTGCTTGTGCTTATTTCTGCAGAGAGCGCACCCCGGATACTCTGCTCCTTAGAGCAGGGATGGCAGAGTCCGCCGTTGGTGTAGCCATAGGACCAGTTAGAAAGCCAGCCTGGAGTCTGAGCTTCCTACACTTTCCCCATGTGGTCAAGGCCAGCTGTGTTCGTGGTCTTCCTGACAGGCTTGCTGCTCTGGGTTGGTATTCTAAACCCAGTTCTGGCATTTTTCTATTGAACAAAATCTTGGTCCAAATCTCTTTTCTCCTAGGTATATGTTCCCATTTAAATGCCCACTAGGGTTCTCATTTTCTGGACTGGACAGCTCTGTCTCTTGTCTTTCCCTCAGAGACATGGTGTCCAGGTAGCTTGGGCTTGAATGATCAATATCCGAATAAATGGGATATGAGACAGCGTCTTCTAAATTCACCTTCATGAATTGCAGCCGGGAACACCCTGCACTTTGACCCAGTTTCAAGCTGTGCTTCCTACACCTTTGAGATGATCATGGCCTGGAAGGACTTCTTTGAGGACCCTGGCAGAATTCTAAGTCAGTTGTCTTTTCTGACTCAGTTGGCATCTGTGTTTTCCAGAGGCTTCTTTGACTTTCCTTTCCATGTGTGTAGGGTGTGTGTGTGTGTGTGTGTGTGTGTGTGTGTGTGTGTGTGTGTATAGCTTTGGCTGCCCTGAAACTTACTCTGCAGACCAGGCTGGCCTCACACTCACAGAGATCCGCCTGCCTCTGCCTCCCTGAGTGCTGGTATTAAAGGTGTGCACCCCCCCACCCCCCCAGCTCATGCTGGCCATTTTATGTGAGTTCTGGGACTCGAACTCGGCTCCTCATGACTGTATTGACAAAGCACCTTACAGACTGAGCTGAGGCCTAGGCCCACCTTCCACTTCTTGGCAACAGCTGACCATCCCACGTCCTCTGAGAATTTGTAAGGTGCCTTCACGCGCTTCCCTGTCCACTTCGCAAACATCTGTGCACTCCAGCTGCGTTCTGTCGAGACGGGCAGCTGGAGCAGCAGTAGGCCACAGTGGGTAGAGTCAGGGCATCTCCCCTAAGGGTCGATGTGTTTGCTGGTGTTCAGTCAAAGCAGTCAGAAGGTTAGAGGTTTCTCCCTCGCCCCCCACCTCACCCCCAACCCCCAAGACAGGGTTTCTCTGTGTAGTCTTGGCCGTCCTGGACTTACTTTGTAGACCAGGCTGGCCTCGAACTCACAGAGCTCCACCTTCCTCTGCTGGGATCACAGGCGTGCACCACCTTAACCAGCTGGTCCGTAGTTTCTAAGAGCTGAAGAATCTTCGTAAATGCGCTCCCCACTACCTCGCCTCAAATGATGGTCCTATCTAACACGAAGGACACCAAGAATGTGGGATAGGAATGTAGCTCAGCAGTAGGGCGCCTATAGCATGCACTATAGGCCTCAGGTTCAATTCCTAGTACCACAAGAAAATAAATGGGGCCTGAGTGTACTCTTAGGTGACACTTGAGATCCATAACCCATTTTTCTTTCGGACTGTTGACCCATTTGCGCTACTTTGAAGGACATGTTGCATTTATAAGATGCTAATGTGTCTATCTGGAGCTAGGCTCCCAAGGCTCCTGTACTTGCCAGGCCAAGCCATTTTGTTTCTAGCAAACTCCCTTCAAATTCTTGTTCACCGTTAAAGGTGACTTCCCGGGCAGGACTTTGGGAAAAACCCCAGACCCATATGTACCTGTTGTGGTTTGAATGTAGTTTGTCTGCCTTAAAATCCTTCCGTAGTTTAACACTGCGAGGCGTGGAGCAGCTTCAGAACAAGGCCGCCAGGTCAGGGCTTTGGGAAGTGATCAGCCTTGAATTAAGGGCGGGCCGGTGATGCCTCACGCATTAAGCGGCTTTGACCGCCCTCTTGTGGTCACATTTGAAACTGCCTTGGCAAACCAGCAATATTTAAGCACTCAGGCTTCGAAGGCAGGGCCGGTGCCCTCTAAGCTTATCGGGGACCCACCCGAGAGCCAAGCGTCCAGGAAGCCATTCTCAGGTGCGTTGTCTAACTCTCTGGCCCTTCCACGTCTTAATTTCTGTGCCATCTTAACAAAGACCTTGTAGGCGCCCTGCTTTCTTGCTAGGCCCCCTAAGATTTTTGGCTGCAGCCTTTGGGCTCCACAGCCTGGTGAAAGAGGAAATGGAGAGACCGTTTGGCCGCTGAAGGAGCCTAGCCTCCTCTTCAGAACCGTGGTCTTTATATGGGTTTGTTCAGGTAGCCTCTGAAAAGGAATGGGGGCAGGGCTGGGGTGTAACTCAGTTGGTAGCGTGGTTTACCTGGCATGCACAAGGCCACGCGTTGGATCCCTGGCTCCAGGGTCTCACGTAGCCGACCTTGAACTCACTGTGCAGCCAAGTACGGCCCTGACCTTCTGAACTTCTGATCCTTCTGCCTCCGCCTCCTGAGGGCTTGGATTACAGACCTAAGCCACCGCTCTTGGTTTTATTCAGAGCTAAGAGCTAAGGATCAAACGCAGGGCTTCACACGCGCTAATCGGGCTTACAGGAGTGTGTGGGGTGGGGTTGGGGGAAGCTGACCACGGTGGCATGTGCTTGGAAGACGGAAACAGGAGAATCCTTGGGGATCGCTGGTCAACTGGCCCCGCCCATTTGATGAGTCTCAGGTCACTGGGAGACCCTGTCTTAAAAAAAGAAAAGAAAGTGAACCGCACCTGAGGAATAGCACTGGAAGCTATTGGCTGGCCTCCATGTGTAGAGTCAGGTATGTGCCTGAGCACCTGCACATATGTGTTCACTCACATACACAAAAATAGTAAGTTATAAATGTCCCCTTGCTTGATGCGCAAGCCTTCAGGAATGTCTGTCACCACTGGGACAGTGCCGTAGAGAAAAGGGAAAGCAACAAAGGAAAAATAGCAATATGGAAAAATTATCCAGTGATGCAGTTTATTTGTGAATAATAAATATATAAATTGAGACTACAGTCTAGATCATACAGGCCAGGACGGTCGCCGGTGTGTCTGGGAAGCCAAAGAAAAGACTAGCTTTACAGTAAAACAGAAGCCTGTGATGCCCAGCTTATGGTGATCAAACCCAAGGCTTCATGCATGAGTGGCAGCCATTCTACCAACTGGCCGCACCCTGTCCCCGGCCCTGTCTCTTTTGATTCTTCTGTCTTCCTTGTCTGCTGCTCATGGTAAACCTGGATGACCCTGACGGAACTGCAGTCCCTACACCCAAGAATATAAAGTCGGTACAAATGGGACTTCAGGGGTAAGTTTTAAGAGAGAAAGGAGAGAGAACAGGAAGTTGGGATGGGGTGGGAATGGATCTGGGAGGAGATAGGGAGGGGAAAGTGGGAAATGAATATGATCAAAATACATTGTATTCGTGAATGAACTTCTTACAGGATTAATAAAAATGTTTTCTTTTAAAAAGAAAGCATAGCCGAATTGTATTAGAATATATCAAGTTTTCGGGAGCAAAGTTCTTACTGCCCATGCTGATTCCAATAACCCAGACCAGGGATGTATGTTACTGTCCCAAGATCAGCCTGCCATGGGGTAAAAGTGTTTGGAAATGGTAGGCTCAGCTGAGGTTGACACTAACTGCAACTCACTAGCCTCTTCCATGCTCTGTGTTCCTAATATTGACCTAAGAATAGGTATATCCACAGGCTCCACACTGCAGGGTCCAAGATAGATCCTGGAGACTTACACCGAGGCCAATTCTGATGGAGGGATGGATTCCTGAAGCTTCTCTTTCTAGTGTCTTCCCTCATGTCCTCCTGATAGAAGCGGGTTTTATGGCCACAAGAAAACACTGTGAACTTTAGTTCTTATATAGGCTGTTTTCTCCAAACAAGTTTCACGGTAAGGTAGGTACTCATTGGTACTGCTAAGGAAACCTTGTCACAGGGACACCTCGGGTATGGACTCCTTGCTCTGGAGCACTGAGCTCTGAGTAACTTAGCCCCACCTGGGCCCCGTTCTTCAGTCCAACTCAGAGACCATTCACAGCCCATTATGGAGACTCTGAGTAGCACCTCCCAGCGGTAGAATGGAGCAAATCAGGTCTCTATTCTCTGGCCCCATTAGGAAAGTGTCCTTCCTCTTTCTGAGGATAAGAAGAGCAGGTCAGCTTAGCTCCAAGATGAAGCAGGAAGCTCTGTTCCCTGCAGCTAGGATGTATTGGTCTAAAATAAGGAAAATGGTGGAGACTGGGAATACAGCTGGGTTGGTTGACTGCCTGCCTATGGTTCTAGAAGCCCTTATAGTCAGTTCGATTCCCAACCTCAGTCGGGTGTGAGATGGTACATGAGTATTCCCAACCCTCAGGAGACAGAGGCAGAAAGATCAGAAGTTCAAAGCCATTCTTAGATACATTGGGAATTAGAGGCTAGTAGGTATGCTATTTGAGTTCTTGTAAAAAAAAAAAAAGGGGGGGGGTGTGAAGGTTAGGAGTGGGGAGAAGATAAACAAGCAAAAAGAAACAAAAATAAAAAAGTAAAAATTCCCATAAGGGTGGTTTAGGGTCTGTGATATAATACATTTCAAAGCCAATTATAATCCATTCTCTTCTATAAACTATGTGGCTAATGGACCACTCCTCAGGTGAAGTCTTGGGTCCCCTAAATGGTATATTTTTCCATCATGAGCTGGCTCCAACATACTGTGGTAGTGTATGCTTTTGAACCCAGTTCTCAAGAAGCTGGGGCAAGAGGATTGAGAGTGTGAGGTCAAATCTGGGCCTCCACACAGCAACGCCCTGCCATGGAACAAAACAATGAAGACAAGACAAAATTTGATTTTATTTTTAACAGGTTTTTTTTTTAATTTTCTGCACTAATACTGGTACAGCTGTAAACTCGAGGAATCATCCACACTTGTATACATTTGCAGAACCATTAATAAAGCACCTTCAGTGGTTTCCACAGTTTGAGAATTTACCATGTAAAACATTTTAGAAGAAATCTAGTAAAATGAATAAAAGTTATAAAAGGTGGATATCATGAGGAACATGACAGAGAGGGCATCATAAAAATGATCCCCCTCCCCAAACACCCCAAAACTGAGGCTACTTTATGAGGTTGCACAGAAGATTCATAGGTTCCCTAAACCTTGCGATTTAAATTCCAATTATTTAAGTAAAGGCTCCCTCCCAATTTAGGTTTCTAGCCCAATCTAAGCAGATTGAAGAGGAGGTAGAAAGAGATGGGGTTGGAGGCTGAGTGTGACGAAGCTAGAAGAAAAGGAGGCAGGGGCCTCTGTTCCCTAAGAAAAGCATCAGGCAGGTACTTTTATGTCTTTAAGGATAATCATTCTTCTGAAAAATGTGTCATTTTTTTCCCTCTGAAGTTATTTAAGGCTTTTAGTCTTAGCTCCCTTTAAGCCCCTCCCCCCATTTCCTCCTGAGGTTTCCATTTCCTGTTCTCCATCCATATCCATTACTTCCTGATAGTTCTCACTGAGTCTTGTCTATGCCCTTAGCCTACAATGTGCTGAATTCTAATTCCTGACTTTCAATCCAAAATTTCTAATGCTTAAGTGTCTAGGAAGCAGTTAAAAAAGAGATAGATAAATAGACAGACAGATAAAACAGTAGCTATGCATATGGTCAGGGGATATTTTTGAAACAAACTCTAGACAGAAATATGAAAGGCAGTAGGTCCCTTGAAACTATACCAATGGCCAAATAAGGGTCTGAACCACTGGTAGAAATGCCCAATTAGATCTTCCTCGATTGGGTCTTCAGATGAGGATCTAGTCAAAAAGGGCCACAGAGGAGAAACAAAGGTACAGTTCTAAAGGTGAGGGACTGTGATGGGCCATTACTCTAAGTCCTACCCCAGCCTGGGCCCCAGACGCCTCTCCATGAGAAGACTTGGGAACTAGTGCTAAGAGTGGAGGTGAAGACTCGCATGGCATCATAGACAGGATGCTAATACAGGTACTTTGGCAAAGAGGAAGAATTTGCTGCAGTTCAAGACACATCAAAATAATAATCCCCTATCCTCAAACATCCTGACTCCACATTTTCAAATTCCTCTCCTAGGACATTTCCTTGACCTACCCACTTGATTAACAGTGGCCACTGTTGAAATACCAGAATTTTTTTTTTTAATCTGGGAGGGGCTTCTTTTTTACCATCCACCAAATGTCATGAATTCCTAGATATGGTTGGGCTTTGATCACATGGCAGAGCATGCATTAAAACCAGAGTCTTAGGCGGGTGTAGAGGTATAGAACAGGAGAGTAGGTAGATAGGAGCACAAAGACAGAGGTTCCAGTACCAAGAGAGAAAATATGACTCATTACCTGGCTAAGCTGGACCTGGATGGGTTGTTGGGAAATTGACTAGATCTGAGGCACCTCAGAGTAACAGCTGAGCTTGTAATGCCTCAGGGAAGTAGCCTGCTTAGGTCTGTGGGGGTCTACTTAACATGGAGGAGTCTAAGATTAGGAAACGGTTCTACAGCTCTAGAATGGACACATGCTTTTCACCCTGAATTTTCTTTCTTTTTTGAAAAAGGGTCTCATGTAATCCAGGCTGTTGAACCCTGCTACATAGACAACATTGGCCTTTAACAACTGATCCTCCTGCCTCTACCTCCCAAGGTTACAGGCATACATCACCACCCTTGGCTTTTTACCCAGAACTTTATAATCTTATCTGCAGACTGGGGTTAGTGTGTGTGTGTGTGTGTGTGTGTGTGTGTGTGGGTGGGTGGTTTGTGTCCTGCCCTCATGTAGAGATTTTTCCACTACTGAGCTAAGAGTGACTGTTTTAGAAGATTGAGGTGAAGTTGTGGGGGTTCAAGCTCGGTACACATGGGCCTATTGGTCACTCCACGGCAGGACAACTTTCTGTCTGAATCGAGTCATTTCAAGTAGGGTGTTGCTGTGAAATACTTGGAGAGGGAGCAAGGCATTCTGGTCATCATTTCCTTTCAATGCAGTCAACTCCCAGGGTGTTATCGGGACACCGGCAGGTCCTGCTTCCTGGCGTGGGCAAGCAGAGGTGCGTACAGCCACCATTGTTCACTGAGCAGTAGTTGTGGCCTGGAAAAGATGGGAATCAGCGTCATAGTCTCCTCCTTGACTTGATACCTGCACCAGCCTCCTCATTTTCCTCCTTGTGGGTTCAAGGGACCACGATGAGCTGTTGTTTGTTTATCATAAATAAGATGGGCAGCTGGAAGCAGTGATGCACGCCTGTAATCCCAGCACGTGGGGAGGCAGAGGCGGGTGGATCTCTATAAGTTCGAGGCCAGCCTGTTCTACAAAGTGAGCCCAGAACAGCCAGGGCTACACAATGAAACAGTCTTGGAAAACTATAAATAAATAAGCATTAGACAGGGCGAGAACATGCATTCCTAATTTGGAGGTGCGTGGTTAATCTTGATTGTGAACTTGGTTAAGATTTAGAATTATGACAAAAACACACCTCTGGGTATGTCTGTTAGGAAGTTCTAGAGTAAGTTAACTGAAGTGGGAAAAGTCTACCCTATTTGTGGGCAGTGGCTATTCCAAGGGCTGGTTTGCTGGAGTGAATAAAAAAATGAGGAGGCAGGCTGAGCACCAGCCTCCTGACTGCAGTGCGAACGGGCCACCGCTTTGACTCTGCCCTGAAACTGGGAGCCACGTAAGCTCTTTCTTCGTTAAGTTGCTTTGGTCAGGTGTGTTGTCACAGCAATGAGAAAAGGAACTAGCCCAGGCGGCTGGGCAGAGTCTATTCCACAGACCACAGGGATGACGCTCCAACTCTAGCACGGAGCAGATATTTTCCATGTAACAGAGCCATGGCCTCACACTGGCTGGGAGCAGGCATGAGAGGATGGCTCAGGAGAGAAGCCTTTGGGCGGAGACCCGGTTCCACCCAGATGTGGGAGCCAGGCCACCTGCAGGACCCACCTGCAGCTCTGCTGCTCCAAGCGCATGAAGTTCACTGTTCGCATTTCCTCATGCATGAAAATGGGAGTAACAGCACCGAGCACATGAGGCAACTTCATGTGTATATGCCTGTGTGTGTTTGCGTGCATACAGACCCATGTGTATGTAAGTATGTTCCAGGGCACACACGCATACAGGCAGAAGTCAGGGGACAGCCAAGTTAGCATATCTCTCTTCTTCTGAGACAGAATGCTCTCATTGGCCTGGTTTCCGGTAGGCTGGGCTGGCTAGCTAGAGAGCCCCAGTGAGTCTTTTGTCTCTGCCTCTCCACTGCTGTCACAAGGTCATGTCACCAGGCCCGGCGTGCTTTCATGTGTGTTCTAGGGATTGAGCTCCAGTCCTTACACCTACAAAGCTTACCCTTTAGTTGCTGAACGTCTTTCTAGATCTTCCATGGGGGCGGGCAGATCTAGACAACGTTTCTCTGTCTTGATTGTCCTAGATTTTGTTCTGTAGCACAGACTGGCCTCGAACTCACAGAGACCCACCTGCCGCTGTCTCCCAAAGTGCTAGGATTAAAGGTGTGGGCCTTTAATGCCATCTGGCTGCCATTTTTCTAATAAGTCACTTTTGCTGTTATTAGGCCAAATGGTCGAACATTTGAAAACATTGGTGATTCAACAGTGAACTCTTTTGGTGCCTGAAGACTGTGTGTACCCTTCAAGACTCAGCCGAAGACTCAAGATGCTTCCTGGCCACACGTATGCCATAACTATGCTTCTCATTTATATCTCTGGTTCCTAATTCAATAATGAAGACCCTTGGTGGAAGTGACCACACCTCACCCACTGTGGCTACTAGTAGCATCATGTAGTCTCTGAGGCAGAGGACGCTCCCATCCCAGACACCAGAGAAAGATGGACTGAAAGGATGGGTATCGAGGACGTGCAGACTGGGCTTCCTACAGGGAGGAGCCTGGCCATGTTTTTAGGCCACCCTGATAAGATTAGGGATTACGAGTGTTGACCCACATTCAGCAGCGTGGATGAATTACCTTGGGGACACTGGGACAGGGCAATGGTGATGCCGTATAGCCGGGTCTGCTTATGGGGGTGGAAGGTATCCATCTCTTTGGATATAGCAAGGTCCATGGCGATCACTGAATTCCTGTAAAGCACCAAAGAGCAGAGTGAACATGGTGGCTTGAACTGTTTTCAGTCTGGTTAGGCAGCCTCTCCTGTGGCTTGGAAGAGAAAAGGACATGGTGGTCTTGCTCTCTGCATATCTCTTCATCTCCCTCCCACCCCAGGCTGGGCCAAGGCGGTAGATCATTGGCTTTTTAAAATAAGGACCAAAATAACCTAGCCCCCCACCCCCCACACTTTGCTCTAAATTCCCGGTGACATATAGGTGCTCCTGGCCAGCTGCCTCCTTGTGGTGACTCTCCCTTTGAGGAAGTTCTTTGTCCAGAAGCAGCTGTGGGAATATTGCAGTTTAAACACTGCGCTGATATAGAAGTATGACAAAAGCTTGGAGCCTAGCGTCCATGTGACCCCGGGCAGCTCCTGGAGAAAGAGCAGGCATGCCCAGGAAGACCCAGGATTGGGAATGATAGACGTTACCACTGCTCCCCTCTGAGATTTGCCAGCCCTCTGCCTCTACCCTCTTCCATAGCTCCTGACAGCCAGGAAGAGGGAAGAAGGGGACATCACTGAGGGTCAAAGCTTAGGCCAAGAGGCCACAAGCAAAGACGCCCACAGACAAAGGGAAGGGCAGAGATCTACCCAGAATACACGCATGACAGCGGCCTACATACGTCTTCCAGTCTGTGTAGTACAAATTCTTCCCATAGCTTGTCACAGCGAAAGGGTACTGGAGGCCTTCGAGAACCTTGCGTCTGCCAGGCTGAGCCGGGTTCAGGCATTCTGCCCTATGGGTGCCTGTGTGTGGCAAACACAAGTTGGTCATTGTTCATGCGAGAAATGAGCCCTTTGTGTCAGAAAACAAGAGTCTAAAAGACAAGGGTGAGCGAGTTCAGTGTTGTAGCTGACATGTCTCAGGGAACATGGAGAGCCGGCTCTTCAGTACTGGCATTCCGTCTCTGCCTCCTGTCTTTTTTTCCCTTTCATCAGCCTATGCCCACCTGAGTTCCCGCACCCACACCTGGCTCTGCTGAGGATATGTGAGCCAGGAAGCCTGTGAGGCCTGTGCCAGCCTTCCCAGATCTTTGTCTCAGGGGGTACCCTGCTCTCTTCAGGCTTTTGTTCAAGGCCCTCCCCCTCTCAGTCTCTCCAGACCCTTTTTTCCCAGAGTCGGGGCACTGAAGAACCGTGACTGATCGGCAGCTGTGACGGGCTCCTACTAACACGTGCGTGATGGTCATCACGGGCTTGTGTGAACATGTAAGTGTTCACATCCCACTCTCTGTCCTAATTAGCTGTGGGACAGAGAAGGTACCCAAGCACAGACCTTCACAGGGAGAGATGAGGGATGCTCTTGCTTGGTAAGCATCCTTCCCACATCTCAAGTCCGAGGGACACCTTGCACAGAGGGAGCAGGGGAACAAGAAGGACTCTATGCAGGGTGCTCTATTATCTCTGGAAATATGGCATACTCAGGGCTCTAAACTCAATCCTCGGTAACCTCCCACAAAAATAGGAGTCAGTTATTATTTTTTTATAGAGCCATCTGGCAATTATTTCAGGTTCTGCATGCCAGAAGACAAAATCAAGTATGATACGAGGCTATACGTTATGACAACACTTAAAATGGTAACACTTAACAATGTAAAAATTATTCTGAGCTTATTCGCTACACAGAAACAGGCAGTGGGTGAGATTTGCCAACTCTAGAGCAAGAAGAATAAGGACATGGAGACTTGTGTGCAGATGATGTCAGGCGTCCCATTACCTGCATCTACCCAGCAGAGCTGAGATGAGAATGCATCAAAGGTCAGGCCGTTGGGCAAGCCCAGGTTGTCCTGCGCCAGAATCCTCCGGTTGGTGCCGTCCATGTAAGAAGTCTCAATTTTGGGATTATCTCTGTTCCAATCTGTCCAGTAGAGGTTCCTGGAAGAGGTAGCAGAGGGGAAAGAAAGAGCAAGACCCCGAAAACACTTTAAAAAGGACCAGGTCGGAAGAGATCAGCAGACAAGAAACTAACACAGCTAAGGGAGATCCTGAGCTGCTAAGATGGATCTTAGGGTTAACTCAGCTCTTTGTTTAATTGGCTGATCTGTTACTAACAGCATCTCTTTTCTTTATAGTCTCTTGAGAAAATTTGGGTGGCTGAGGGGATAGCTCAGTAGCTACAGTGAGGACCCGAGTTCAATCCCCAGCATCGTGTTAAAAATAAAACCAAACCAAACAAAAAGCCAAGTGTGGTAACTCAGGGTTGTGATCTCAGTACTGGGAAGAAGGGGGCAGCCTGTCCTACTTGGAGAGACGGAGAGACACCCTTCTCAAAAAGAGGTGGACAACGCCTGAGGAATGACACACAAGGTCTGTTACCAAATACACACACACACACACACACACACACACACACACACACATAAACTTTGGACCTGATGTAAACAAACAGTAATTTCCCGAGGGACAAACTTACATAAAAGGCCATGGCGAAACACTGTGATTTGACTAAAGCAAGATGCAAACACGAGCAGAGAGAGCAGGGGAAATGTCTGCTGTGTGCGAGGTAGCTGAGTGGCCACAGTCCAAGTGATGTTATCGTCTCCAAGGGAATGTTTCAGAGTGTCTCGGAGATGGGGTCTGGGATGTAAGACTGAGAGCTTGCCATAGGGTGAAAAGAGAAATGGGCAGAAGGGGACTCCAGGATGCTCGAGCCACATCTGGTCCAACAAGGAGTGCCAGGGGCGTGGTGAAGAGCACCCAACACATATTCTCACAGCATTCACACCAAGTTGAGTGTTAGTTCACATTCAGCCTACGTAGAAATTACTCACTTTCTGAGCTATCACCCTACAAAGTCTCTTGACAAAAAAACAAAAGCAAAAACGTGAAACTGGAGCATGGCATGAAGTGTGCATTGTGGTGAGTGTGTCAGCACCTCATCAGCTCAGGAGAGCAACGCTGGCATCATGACCTGAGACCATCAGAAAAAGCCAGAGACTAAAAACAAAACAACAACAACAAAAACAAACAAACAAACAAAAACCCCAGATATGTGTAGGCAAACATACCCTCTTATGGGGTCTGTCACGATGCCTCTGGGATTCACCAACCCGGTGTCAAACAGCACTCGGCGCTGCGTGCCATCCATCTTTGCGACCTCTATTCGATCCAAGTGAGAGTCCGTCCAGAAGATAGTTCGGCCAAGATGGTCAAGGGCAATGCCTTCAGGGCTTCCAAGATCTAGAAGAAAACACCAAGTCATAACCGGACCTAGAGTTCTCTGGTTACTCAGTTATCTTAGATGTGGTGGTCAAACCTTGAGAAACCAAATGGGTATGTGAAACTCTTAGTTTTATAAGATCAGCAGTTTTCCAAGTGACAAATTCAAAAATGCTACCCAACCATCCTCATCCATCTATTGGGTATCACACTGGGAACCAGGAGGGTCACTGTGACAAAGATGCAGCCCTGTCCATCAAGAAGCCCACAGGCAACGGTCATTCAAAGTGAGGTCTAGTTTCTGTGGGCAGATGATACAGGATGAGGCTGAGTTTACCAGGGATGGGTTCTGGGGGAGCGGACATCTGTAAAAGGTAGTTCCTGAAGGACCAATGAAAGCTTATCAGATGAGAATCATGCATAAGTGTTTTCAGGTGTAAAGAAGATGACAAGGGGTTCGGAGTGGGTCGCAATTTTACATGGTCAGAGATCGTAAGAGGGAGGGAGTGGCCCGAGGTGAAATGGAGATGGAGGTGAGGAACTCAGAGCTTATCTCACTGATGAGCAGAAGGCACGGAATCTTTTTTGCTTTGTTTTGTTTTTTTTGTTTCCAGATAGGGTTTCTCTGTGAGGCTCTGGCTGTCCTGGACTCGCTTTGTAGACCAAGCTGGCCTCAAACTCACAGAGATCCACCTGCCTCTGCCTCCCAAGCGCTGGGAATAAAGGTATGTGCCACCATACTCAACAAAGGCAGAGAATCTTAGGTGGGGGTGGCACGGTAGATGTTTATTCCTTAGTCATTACAGGATGGGGATGCATTTCAGGAAATAATATTGCTGTCTACACTGTTAGTACTTGAATACAAGTGTAAAGAATAAAAAGAAGGTGTTTGGTGATTACAAATTATACTTTCCACTTGATTGCAAGCAAGACCCAGGTTAGCACTATGAAACTAAAAATATGAAGTTAAAGATATGAAATGACATTGTAGGATTTATTGGCATCGGGAGCTTCTTCCCCCGCCTCAATTAGAGGACTGAAGGTCGTTTGGCTTGGCTGGAGTGTAAGCAGGAAGGAAAGCAAACTGCACTACCCCAGGCATCCAGCAATGGAGAGAATCACCCCCGCACCCGCTCACCTATGTACAAAAGCAAGTTAACCTCTCATCTCGGCCTTTTCTAGAATGGAACACGCTGTGAAGGATAGTAACATTCCTGACAGGGGCAGAGGAGATGGCTCAGTTGGTAAAGGGTTTGCTGTGCAAGCATGAGGACCTAAGTTCAACTCCTACCACCCACATAAAAGCTAGGCATGGCAAAGTCACTTGTAATACTAGCACTGAGCAGGAAAAGACAAGAGGATCTCTGGGGCTTGTTGTCCTCCAGATGAGCCCAATCAATGAGCTCCAGGTAAGAGACTCTGGCTCAAAAAAAGAGAAAAAAAGGAAAAAAGTCAAGAGTGATTATGACAATCCCCTGATACTGATATGTACATGTGTGTGTACACCCCTGACGCAAACAGACACACAGAAGCCTCTGACAGGGGCTCGACCAGAGAACAGGGATTCAGAACCACAGATCAAATGAACAGATGGTTTATTACTATACCCAAAGAAGAGCTGCATGAAGTGTTAAGCTTTCCCATACCATAAGAGGCCCAGGAACAATGAGACTGTCTCCCAGGGGCTCCCTGTGGCTTTTCGACAGAACGAACGAACACACACACACACACACACACACACACACACACACACGCCACGCCCCAGCAGCCACTCAATCTGGGGAAAACTTGGAATGAGCACATCCTGTGGGATCCCCCAAGCAGCTCCCGCCTACTTCAGGGATGGGAGCCGCCCAGAGCATCTTCACAGGCTTCCAGAGGAAGCCTGTCAGGAGTGCATGTCATACCGTCACCTTCTACACAGCCTGGTCCTGATCTCAAACCCAAGAGCCACTTAGCCCTTTCTCCTCTCAACCAAGAAAATATGTCTCTGTGGGCTACACTTTCCAGAGGAATGAGCAAGCAAACACACACACACACACCCCTCCCTGTGTTGAGAAACAATGAGATCACAAGGGAATAGGTTTTTCCTTAAGGCTGTGCGGAATTTGAGTAGGATAGATACCTAGTGAGATCCCTCAGGAGGAAAAGAACACCACATCTCCAATACCTCCCCAGAAATGTTCTAGAACTCAGTCTCGGTCAAGGTCACATTTTTGGTTGATTCTGTGTGTTTTAAAGTTAGTTAATTTTGGCCTTTCTTCCAGCTCTCACTGTGCTTAAAAGTCCTTTGGCTGATTTCTGGCGCCAAAGGCAACAGGAAATAGCAGACAGTGACCTATTCCTCTCTTCCTCCAAGATTTGAAATAAAATCCCAGATAAGAGCAACAACATTTTCAACACAGAAGCAAAAAGGCATTTCCAAGTTCTCTTCACTAAGCCAGAGTGTGAAAGCTAACCAACATCATTGAAATAGCCCATCAGCTCTCAGAAAAGGCCCCACGAGCCAAGTGCAAAGCCAGGGTTGTCTCAGCCTCAGCTTGGTTCCAGATGTGTTATCTCTAAGAAAGGAAACAAGGAAGAGGGGAAATGGCCACGGGGGTAGATCCTTACAGATTATTAACTGTTGGAGGGATGCTAAATCAGAAGTTAAATATTTTACAGAGGAAGTAGAGCTTCATGCAGCTGATGTCAACATGACAATAGCTTCTGAGCAAAAAGAGTCCCAAATCTATTGAGTCATGGCTGAAGCTACTCAAGTTCTTTAACCATTTCACTACTGGGGAACTTTCACAGATCCTAGAGTTTTTGGTAGAATGGTTAAACATACTTGTGTAGAATGGGTTTTTCTTTTTTCTTTTTTTTTTTTTTTTAAACTGAGAACTGCACCCAGGGTCTCACACATGATAGGCAACTGCCATGTTGTAACTTTTTGAGGCAGGGTGTTATTGTCGCCCAGGCTGACCTAGAGCTTGCTCATCCTGTAGCCCGGTCTAACTTTGAACTTGTGATCCTTTTGCTTCAGCCCCTCAAAGTAGCTGAGATGGCAAGCCTAAAACAGTGGGCCTGGCCATTCTTTATTTATTGAATTGAAGGTTTTAAAATGATGTGTATTTTGCTGGGCATGGTGGAGCACACCTTTGATCCCAGCACTCCTGGAGGCAGAGGCAGGTGGATCTCTTCTCTGAGTGGATATCTGTGAGTTCGAGGCCAGCCTGGTCTACAAAGCAAGTCCAGGGCAGCCAAGGTTACACAGAAGAATCCTGTCTCAAAAAAAAAAAAAAAGTGTATTTCTCTATTCAAGCAGGCATCTAGATGAGGTTAATTGTTGACATTAGGCTGTGTCAATGTAACACACATTTTTTGTCACATTTTTTGACACATATCAGCCAAGACAGAATTCTTTGTGAGAGTTGATCCTCCCCCTAGTTGGACTCCAGGGGAGAGCTAAGGAGAGGAAAGGTATGTTGAGGTAGGCAAAAGAAACTACCCTTATCCCAAGATGCCATATTTAGAAATGACAACTCTTTAACACCAACACAGCCTTGGAAATAGACTCTATTTTCAGAGTTGGGTGTGGTGACATATGCTTGTAACCCAGTATTAGGGAGGAAGAGGCAAGAAAGGCAGGATTTCCAGGCTAGTCAAGGCTGTCAAACATTGGCTTAAAATAAATAAACAGGAGCCAAAATAGCTCAGTTGGGAGAATGTTAGAATGAAGACAGAAATAAAGAAATAAACAAATAAATAATATGACATAAGCAAGCTGAGTGGTGGTGCATGCATACAATCCTAACACTTGGGAGGTAGACGCAAGAAGATCATGAGTTCAAGGTCATCCTCATCTATTTAATGAGTCTGAATATAGTCTGGTTTATATGAGATCCTGTCTCAAAAAAAAATCAAATAATAAATAGTTTTCAACTTCTGAGTATCTGTCAATATTCTTGTAGGTTTCTTGACTGTTCCATCCACCCACTGACTTTGACTAAACCCTCATGGAGCACCCTGTGAGAAGCAATTGTAGGCTCAGAAGCTAGAGGAATAAATGGAATGCTGAGTTTGGTCTCATGACACGCAAAGATGGACTATGTAAGCCCCCAGAGAAGGCACAGGCACATGCCTCGTTTCAGTTTTATTATCCCAAGACAAGCGGGTAACCTCAGCCAGGATGTCCCTGATTTAATGACTCAAGTGATGTGTGGGAAATTTCAGAGCGACTGAAAAGGTCAGAGTGTGGAGGCAGAGGACCTGGCCCCTTGCAAACCAGGCAGCTTACTCTCCATCCCTCACCTCCTGCCAAGAGCAATGTGGGCTGCTAGGAGCAGCAACCAAAGGAACGGCATTTGCTTGCCCACCTTGTCGAATGATGGTGGTTGGCTCTCCTCCGTGTAGGCTGGCTCTCCCAATGGAAGGTTCGCTGATGTCTGTCCAGTAAACCACTTTGTCCACGCAGTCAAAGGCCAGTCCGATGATGACTTTTGCCTGGAAGGGATGCCAGTGTTGAGAGCAGATCACCCACTAGCTAGTTTTGCCTTGAATCATCCCATGTTCCTATATATCCTCAGATAGCATTTTAAATAAAGTAAATATGGTTCGTCCATTCACATGTTTATTGCTGAATTGTAGAAACTATAATTCAGGGGGGGAAAAAAACCTCTTTTCTAGATACATGTGTGTTTGTACTTCTACATTTGTGTATATGTATGTTATGTTATGTATGTATGTATTTGTATGTATGAGCATGTCTCCTATGTTTCTAGCTAGGTTTTCACTTTCTCCAATTTTTTAATTAATGTGTATGTGTTTATGTTTGTGTCTGTATGTGTATCACAAATATTCAAGAGCCCGTGGAAGCCGGAAGAATGCGTTGGATCCCCTAGAGCTGGAGTCCCACGTGTTTGTGACCTGACTAACCTGGGTGCTGGAAACCGAATGGCTCCTCCACAAAAGCAGCAAAAGTGCTTTTAACCTCTGAGCCGTCTTCTGGCCCCAAGAACAAACATTTCAAATGTACAAGGCCCCACAATGAGCACTACAAAGCATTAAAGAGTGAAATTAACACTGACAAAGGGGCACTAGAAAAGTATAGATCAGGTTAATGGATTCTGCAGTTTAATATTGCCAAAACATCAGCTCTCCCTAGTGACAGTTTCAGTGACTCTGTGTCTCCTTTGCTAAAGTTAAACCAAGCCGTTTGGTTTTGCTTTCGTTTGATTGTTATTGGGTCTTACGTGTAACAGTGGCTGGCCTCGAACACCCTGGAGACGCGGCTAGCCTGGACCTCACAGAGGTCTGCCTCCTGGGTGCTGGGAGTAAGGGTATGAGGCACTGCGAATGGCGACTATTTCGGTCATTTGTCTGTTTTTAGTAGGACAAAGGAGTTTATTCCTCCCCCTCTCATGCCTGCTGCTCATGTCTGTAATCTCAGAATCTGGGCGGCAGAGGCCAAGAGTTTGAAGCTGACTTTGACTACAGTAACACGTTCAAGTGTAGCCTGACATATAGGAGAAGACTGTCTTAAAAATAAATAAATAAATGAATGAATAAATGATCTCAGCTAGTTCAAACAGCCTAAGAAAGGAACTCACACCTCCCTGACTTTGAGCTCTCCTATAATGGAAACCGAGTAACACTGGCTGGCATAAGGTTAGCTGGAGGGACCAGCACAGGAGACCAAAGCGCCCAGAAACAGCCTCTCACTCACACCTAAAATGGTATTTTGACAAGGTTACTGAGGTGCCAAGCAAAAAAAATATGGTTTGCTTAGCGAATGGTGCTGGATGATCTGAATAAACACATGGGGAATGGCAGAAACAGCCCTCGGGTTGACCTCAGACCATAGGTAAAAATTAAAGGCTGAGTCTATCGCACTCCTTTTAGAAATCTCGAGAGAACATTGCCACAGCGTTCTGAATAAACTCATTGACAGGCCAAGCTTGCAGAATAGACGTTCCCAGATCACAGACCGTCACTTCTCAGTTTGTTACAGTAGGAATACATTATGCATTTAGACTTTCTTTAGATGTAGACTGTTAGCCAGTCATGGTAGTGCACGCCTTTAGTCCCAGCATGAACCTCTGTGAGTTCGAGGCCAGCCTGGCCTATGAAGCAAGTCCAGGACAGCTAGTGCTTTTATACATAGAAATTCAAAAAACAAAACAAAAGATGTAGATTGCTTATTAAATTATTATTTACAAATGAATATCACAAATATAACTACTATATTATATCATATTACATTACACGTAACTATTAAGTATTTTGGTATTATAGGGTGTTGTGCCATATAATATACTATATTTAGCTATTAACTCCTTGATATTATATTTCTTATATTATACTATCTTGGTATTATGCTATATTATAGTTCTTTTATACATAGTTATTAACAATATAAGCATCGACTTATGTTATAATTCAGTGCTTATGTTAATTATCCTGGAATTACATTCTGCTACTGTATTATATGTAACCATTATTTTGGTAGTCAGGCCCCTAGAGCTGGGACCGTCATCCAAAACTCACAGGGATGTGGAGAAAGGCCTTGGCTTCAGTCTTCTTCATGGTGTTTCTCTCCAGGGGTAGGCGTTCAATCTTCCCAGTCTGGGCAAAGAGTAAGTGTGTCCCTGGGGGCAGGGGGATGACGGCTGTAGGTACTACGGGTCCTTGGTGAATAGGGGGAGCCACTGTACTCAGACCTAGAGGGCAAGAAATGGTCAGTGAATGAGGGCTGTGAACACCAGAACCGTGTTCTCATACTCAAACATGTAGGCACATCTATGCATACATGTGTGAACACACAGGTACATACACATGTGCATATATGTGAACATATGAATACATGTGCATGTGTGTTCATGCAACCATCTTCATACCACCCTAGGTCTTGTCACATTTATTGACTTTAAACAGCACAGCCAGCCTCAATACCCATTTTCTGTCTGTAAACTCCAGAGGCAAAATGCCTTCAGCCATCCAAAGGACAGGGCAGAACCCAAGTGTAGTATTACAGGTCCAGGAGGATAAAGAGCTGGCTTCGTTCCCTCTTATACGATGACTTGGTTATTCATGCGCTGGCTAGATGCTGGACTGGTGTGAGAGCCAAAGTAGTGCTGGGAGCAATAGCCAGGGCACCTCCATTCTTTTACAGTGGATGAACGCGTCAATGAAGGCACCTGTACACTCTGTCCATTGCTGTGGGATGGGGCATCCTCTGACCTCGTGAGCAGAAATAGGTCCACCTAGGCTCTCCAGACCAATAGGCTGGCAAGGCGCTCATCCACGGTCTGATGTGGCCTGGCCTGCTTGACTTGCTGTGTGACCTGTTGACCTTGACCCTGGCTGGTCCCCTGATTCCCTCAGCAAAGGAGTTCCGTGGGCAGAGGGAGGGGAGGGTTGGCACAGCCTGTGCCACAGGCTGGCCAGGTACTGTCTTTTTACTGCGCACACTGGACGTGTGCCTGTCTGAGCTTCTCTTTGGCTGTTTAAAGGGAGAGCTGGCCGGATGTGGAGCATCCTTAATATCCCAGCACTTAGGTGAAGGCAAGATCAGGAATTCAAGTTTATCTTTGGCTAACATGGCTACGCTGTCAATTACAGAACAGTTCCCAACATGAGATCCTGCCTCAGGGATAAAAAAAAAAAAAAAAAAAAAAAAAAAAGACTGAAGCATATTAAGGTCCAAGGGCCTGGCTGCACAGGAACATGTATTAAAAAGATAAAAACAGGTCTCTCCAGTAGAGTGAGTAAGGCTTTTGGGAGGGCCGAGGGCCCACAGCATCCCTGTCCAGTCACAAGACCAGCAGTGCCCTCCCTGGGTCTGCCACAGCCCAACGAGGAATGTTCCAGAGCACTTGTATACCCGGAGATAGAAGAGAAGAGCATAGGTCAGATGCAAGAGGGGACAAGAGGTGACAGGCCAGGAGAATACAAACAGGGAGACCAGGCCACACATCCACTAGCACAGGTTGTTCCGGTACACGAGTCTACCTGACATCCGTCCACTTACACGGGGGTCTCATCCCAGGCGGGGTGCGGGTACCCTCCAGCTCCCGACCGTCGCGGTCCACACACCAGCAGTAGCCAGTGCTGTGGTGGCACTGGGTGGGCGCGTAGTGCCCGTCCTCATCACACTGGGGTACGAACGTTCCCAGCAGCACGGGCCGCTGCGCATCCGCCGCCCCGGCCGCTCCCAGGATGTGCTCGCGTTCCAGCTGACACCGCGTCTTCCCCACCTCTGTCGGTGAGAAGCAGAGCAGAGTGTCAGTCAAGCCAGGCGCGGTGTGGCCCAGTGCCACAGGGGTGACCCAGCAGCACTGGCTTTTTATTCATTTTTTCTTTTCAAATTCAAGACATCGTTTTGAGAGCCGGGGATGTAGCTTGCATAGCATGCAACAAGCCCTGGGCTCAGAAGTTCAAGGTCATCTTCAGCCCTGAGTTCATGATTAGCTCGACCTTCTCTCAAAATAAAACAAAACAAAACCCATAAGGACTTCAAGGCCAGCTGGTCTACATAGTAATATCCTGTCTTTAAAAAAAAAAAAATCATTTATACCTGTAGATTTTCTTTTCTATACAGTTCTTTTAATTTTTTTTAAAAGGCAAAACAGACATAAATAAAATAAAATAAAATGCTTTTAAATGAACAATTCAGTGGTGTTCAGCATTCACAGCAATGTTCAGTTAGTTATGGTTTGTTTGTATCTGAACCATTTCATCACCCTTAAAAGGAAACCTCATGCCTGGAGAGCAGATATTGCCATGTTTCCAAAGTTCCCAATCTCCATCCTCTCTGTGGACTTTCTCATTTTGTGTTGTCTCATACAAATGAAACCACAGGATGTGTGTGGCCCCGCATCTGGCTTCCTTCTCTTAGCAGATCTTCCAGGCCCATCCTCACTGTGATGCCCATTAATCCCCCTTCTCTTCAACAGCTGGATGAACACTCCATCGTAGAGAAAAGCCACACGTTGTCCAACCATACTTCCGCTGATGGACAGCCCTGGGCTTTGTTCAGGGGCATTGTAAGTTTATCCAATTTGGTGATGGCAGAGTGAAAGAATTCTTCTTTTACCCTCCCATGCTCCGTGTGATCTACATCGAATCCAAGCCAAAGAGTTTGGAGACCAAAGACCATGAAACACTCGCCAGCCTCTGTGTGCTTTCCCCCTAGTGAAGGCCCATGTCTGCCCCGGAATCTGGTCTCTAACTTGTACATCTCACATTCCAAAGCAGGGAAATGCTGCAAGAAGCTTAGGAAGTCGGGCTATGGGGTAAGCCTGAAATCTCAGCACTTGCGGATGCTGATGCAGGAGGATTAGAAGTTCAAGAACAATCTGTCTCAAACGAAGCAAAACAAAACTTGACGTAGAATAAACAACTCCTAAATATGCAGAGTTGCAGCTGTCTCACATCCTCTGGAGTCTAGCCACCGTGGGGACCAGTAGAGCGCAGTTCACCTCTGGAGCATGAATCGCATAAAGACATTGAGAAGCATTGCCTGGCCCATCCACCCAGACTGGGATGAAGCCCTGATCTCCCCCAGGAGGACTTCTCACAACCCCTCCCCCAATGCTGGGTCCAATGTTTCAGGTGAGCTCCAAGGCCCTCCAGGTGGTGGGTACCCTAAGACCAGAGACTCTGGGGTCCCATGACCTGAAGGAGTTGTTCTCTGTCTCCCAGCAGACTCAGGGCTCTCAAAGGGTAGAGGTTGGCTCTTTTCTCCCTTTACTGAGAACATGCACTGGGCTGCTGATAAATGCAGAATTCAAGAGTGATTTCAAGAGCAGCTTGAGTGGGGTGTTGGAAGTAAAGGCACTTAGGTTGTTTGAGAGTGAACGGGAGGCCCTGAGGAGGAGGCAGCAGCCTGGCTCTAGAATCTTAGTCACAGAGGGTAACTATAGGGTAAAATCTAAAGCCTCTGGGTGAAACCTCTTGTCTCTACCAGACTGGTCTGTAGGCAATGTCTGTGGGGGGATTTTCTTAATTGCTAATTGTTGTGAGAGTATCCAGCTCAATTTGAGGAGTGGCACCATCCCTAGGCATGTGGGTCTGGGCCGTATAAGAAAGCTTGCTTAAGCAAGCCAGGGGGAGCATAAAGTAAGCAATGCTCACTCATGCTCTCTGCTCCAGGTCCTGCTTGGAGTTTCTTGCCCTGGCTTCCTTTGGTGATATACTGTAACCTGTAAACTGAAATAAACCCTTTCCTCCCCACGCTGCTTTTGGTAAGAATTGTTTCATCACAGCACCAGGAAAACAAACCAGAGCACACTAAAAAGAAACAATGTACCCTGTTAACCTCCAACGCAATCAGGTGAGGTCATGGCACTCAGGGCACCAGTAACAACAGCCAGGCTGGTGTCCAAACCTGAGTGGGAAAAAGCAAAGGGAAGCAACAGGCTTTTGGGAACACATGGACTCCAGCTACTGAAGAGGTACATCCTACCAGGCACAGATTGAAACAAGGGGTGGGGAGGGAGTGGTAGGGTAAGGGGGTTGGGTGAGGGGGACTGTCCCTTACTTGAAGTGCAATCCAACAAACTGGAAGCTCTGGTTCTTAGGAATTCTCAGAAGTGAACACTCTGACTAGAAATTGCCTGAGGACACAATCAAAGTTATACAGAATGGGGACACTGGACAAAGAATGCCCAGGTATAAGGGGACAGAATTTTTTTTTTTTTTTTGGTTCTTTGAGACAGGGTTTCTTTGTCCTGGACATGTTCTGTAAACCAGGCTGGCCTCGAACTCACAGAGATCCGCCTGCCTCTGCCTCCCTGAGTCTGGGGTTACCGGCATGCCCCACCACCCCTGGTTGTTAAATACTTTCAAACACTTTCCCCAAAAGAACACAAGAGAGTTCTGGCCCCCAAACCACCCTTCTAGAAGCTGAGGGAAACTAAAGGTCACACAGAATGAGAATCAGAAGACTGTGGAAGTCAAACTCCTCACAAAACCACTTAAGAATAGGACAGACAAATGGACACAGTGCCAACAGGACATTCAGGAGATATTAAGCTGGAGGCAAACCCACAAAAAGGAGATGAGGCAGGACAGACAGAACAACAATGAATCCTAATTAGGGAGAAGTCCAAAACAAGGCAACGGAACTCAGAGGAGAAATGAAAAGAAAACGTCATTTCAGAAATGAAATCTGAGCCAGGCCTGTGGCCCCAGCTACTTGGGAGGATGAGGCAGGAGGATGACAAATTCAAGGCCTGCCTGGGCTATAGAATGAATTCAACATCAGCCTTGGTATGTTAGCCAGACACTGTCTCAAAAACTAAACACAAAGTCAGTCTGGAGACAATAAGATGCCTCAGTAGGTAAAGGCGCTAGCCACCAAGCCTGAGTTTCATCTGAGTTTGAACCCACATGGTGGAAGAAGAGAACCGACTCCCACGAGTTGTCCTCTGATCTCCACTCCAATGATGTGGTGTGCATACACACACAGACACAGACACACACACAATGAATAAAAATGGCTCTTTTATTTGTCTTGTTTTGTTGTAGAGAGAACTAAAGATACAGCCTAGTGGTAGAGTGCTTGCCTAGCACATTGTGAGGGCCCAGTCTCAGTTCCCAACAGAGAAGAAGAAGAGGATGGCAGAGGAAGAGGAGAAAAAGGCAGGCACTGCAGGGGAGAAGCTTTAGGAGGTAGGGCTGGAGACGGTAGGCTACTGAGGGGGACAATAGAATGCTAGTCCCTTCCTTTTCTTGTTTCTTGGCCACCGTGATCTGACTCATTTCCCCCTACCATGAATTTCCCACCATAAAGCTGGGCATCTCCACAGACTCAAAGACAAACAGTATGCCAGGAGCCAGAATTAAACTTCCTTCCTTAAGTTGCCTCTGTCAAGCATGTTATCGCAGAACAACAAAAGCAAGCAACGCATCCGACAACCCAAGGACATGGAAATAGGCCTTCATCACAGTGAATTTTCCAGCCCACGGACCTTGGATTTTCCAACCTTCAGAACTATGATAAAAGAACTTCTGTTGTTTATAAGCCATGTAGTCCATAGTTGTCTGATATAGCCATCTAAGCAGAATATAACACACCTCCACAGCCAATCCCCTCTCTCGTTACAGAGAGGACTTCTGAGTTTCCATGTATGCGTTCCATTTTTCTTACATACACATGAACATTAGTTTTCACACTGGTTTACATCTTATATAAGCAGGATCTCTCACTCATGTACCATATATATGTAACCTTTTATAATTTATTTCAACAATATCCTTTGAGTCCATTTGTTTTGCCTGCTGCCTATTGCTTCATAGCACAATTTAAACAAAAGTCATGCATCTGCTCTTCTTGTTGCTAGATATTCAGATTGTTTTCTGATTATCAATAATACATAAACATTCTTGTGCGTTTCTAGGACATGTCCTCTTGGGTATATAACCAGATGTTGGACTTCTTCTGAGAACAACATTAAATAAACAAACAATCTTAGCAAATAGCTCCTATTAATGTTATCATTGTCCCATCTTCACGTCCCAGACTACAGGTCTAGATCTGTTTCTGTTTAGTAAACAGAGCCTTAAGGACAGGGCAACGAGTCAGACTTAAAAAAAAAAAATCAAAACAAAAACTCAGACATCTGTTTCTCTTTGAACCGGAGGGGTGAAGCCAACCCACAGAAATAATGAATGCTGGTTGTTTTAACAGCAGCTGGAATGCCTCCCTCGGCCTAAGTGGCTGGGACTGCTTCTCTGTGTGTCCTGCCCTTTAAATCTGTGGGCAGAACTATAGACACAACTCAGAAACAGAAGGTGGTCCCTCTTCTCATTTGGCAGCGTGTGTGTGTGTGTGTGTGTGTGTGTGTGTGTGTGTGTGTGTGTGTGTGAGATTGTACACATATGCACACATGTGAAGGAACGCAGTGGAGGTCAAAGGACAACTTGTAAGAGTCAATTCTCTCTTCCCACCATGTGTCTTCTGGGGATCAAACTTGGGTTGCCAGACTTGGGGCAGCAAGCACCTTTACCACCTCATGGCACCCAGCTCTCTTTCTGCTTCTTAGTTGCTGGTGAGGTACTTTTGCTCCAGGTTCTCCACCATGAGGTTCTGCTTCACCCCATCCCAAAGCAACAGCTTCAACAGACAATGGGCTGAAATCATGACCAGAACAAAATTTCCCTTCTTCAGGTTGATTGTCTTAGGTGTTTGAAAACTGACAAACACCAGCCCTGCGTGTTCCCAGCAGGTTCTGTCCCGCCAGCAGCCAACTACCCTCATTTGTTCACCGGCCTTTGTGGGGAGCCTTACAAGTTCTCCATCTCAGTCCAGGCCTGGCTTGGGGATTCCGGGTGCCTACCTGCCAGCAAGGGTCCACTCAAGTGTCAGGTAAGTGGAAACCCCCAAAGCTGCACATTCAGGTCAGGTAACAGGTGTTGTAGAACAGTCTGAGCTTTAGTCATACCTCCCCACAGCTTGGGCCCTTCACCTCATCTCTCCAGTATACTTTCCATCCCCCAACACTCCGGGCTCCTACTGATTTTATGTCGGTGTGACTGGCCCAGTCACCTATGTATGGATGCCCCAGATCTTGGTCACAACATTCTGGGTGGCTCTGGATGGCACTCTTTAGGTTGACATATTAAGTGCATTTTTCTTCCTAGCGTCATTCAGTCACATAAAGACCTGAGCAGAACATGGAAAAACCTGCTCCTCTTCTGAATGAGAGAGAACTCTTGTTCGGACATGGTGGTGCATGACTTTAATCCCGGCACTCTGGAGACAGAGGTAGAAAGACCTCTGTGAGTTCGAGGTCAACCTAGTTTACATAGTGAATTGCATGCTAGCCAAGGCTACATTGTAAGAACAGAGAGAAAGAGATTCTGTCTAATAGCCTTCAAACCAGAGATCATTTGTCTCCTGTGTTTTTGATCAAACCAAACATAAGACTTTTCCGGGTCAGGACTTACTGTGCCATAAGCTTTCCTGCTTCTGTGACCGTCACAGCTGAACTACACAGGTTATAAAGACATTAGTGGGCCACCAGCTGCTAACACCCCATCTTACCCCCTGGCACACATCGGAAGCCATCCCCCTGATAGCCAGGCTTGCACTGGCATGTGAAGGATCCTGGTGTGTTGTAGCAGACAGCATCAGGGTGACATCGGCTGAGCTGGCATTCATCCACGTCTGCAAGACAGCCACGGGCCCAGAGACCATGAGATTGCTTCCAGAATTTGTGGTTGATACAATAATTTAATCCATGCACTCAACCTGCTTTTAATTAGAGACCAGGGACTTTGAACTCACTAAATATTAATTTTTAAGACACTCACACCCCAGCTTCTATCTAGTACATTTACAAATGTGTTTCATGTGGCAATGTTTTCAGGAAACATCGAACTTGCAAAAGGAAAAGTCTGCACTGTTGGATAACGCCTTCCCCCGCCCCGCATTGCAACCAGGAGGTTCTAGAACTCTTAAGTGTTTAGAGAAAATTATATAGTCAACAATGGAGAGACAGTATATGTGAAATCTTTGCTGAACTTATGTTTAGTATAATGTTGCGTAATTGAACAAATCAAGAGCCCTGAGTTACACTGTTACTGTTACAAGTGCCCCGACAGCCAATTATAGGCTAATCCCAATCCTGGAAAACTTCTGTGATGTCATTTCATCTGACTTCAAAATGGGAACTTTGCTTCTTGTGCAGGCAAGCCCACTGCATACAAAGATGGACATTAAGCTCTATGAAAGCAAAGACCATGTTTGCAAAAAAAAAACAAAAACAAGCAATCCCGGTTCCCATCAGTTATCCAAGTTATCCAATGCTGCCTAAAGAAGCAAGCCTTGGGGTCAGGGGAAGCCAAGTAGGTCCCAAATGAGGACAACTCTCCAAGAAAATGTGCAGTTCCAGGTGCTGGCAAGATAGGAAAGGCCACCTTCTCCCTCACGGGAGGGAAAAGAACATCTTTCTTATATACAGGGTGTGCTGGTGATTAGCGTACAGTAAGTACCACCCAGGCCACCCTTTCAGGGTATACAGGGAAACTGAGAGCCACCACATACCTTGGCAGGCTCTGCCATCCCCAGAGAAGCCAGGCAGGCAGGAACAGGTGTAGGAGGAGCCACCCATATAGATGCACTGGGCCCGCTGGGGGATATCACAGTTGTGGAGACCGGTTTCACAGTAGTTGATGGGCCGCTGATCCACGACAGCTTAAAAGCAAGTACATGAACACATGCCTTTGGAAGAAGGTCTCAGAGCAGGCAGGAACCCCTCCAAGCTCTCTGTGCACCAGTGAATTGGCTCAGTGGGGATCTGAGAAGGGGTCTGTGTCCAGGTGCTCCCTGGGTCCAGACCATCCCATCCCCTAGAGTCATTTTCCGTTCCATTGAACCTAGGGTCTCATGCTCCTGAAGTCCGGCCAATGAGCTGCATCTCTAGCCCAGGCTAGCCTAGAATTTATTCTGTCAGGCCAAGCAAGCCTTGAACTGGGATCCCTACACCCCCATCTTAGCCTCTCAATAATGGGCCTGCATCCCCAGGTTTGGCTTGTTTTTGAGCAATGGAAGCCATTATTCAAACAACTTATACAGAATTTGATCTATAGACAAACAGAAGGCTGGGGACCAGGGGAGAAGACAAAATATTGGCCTGCGACTCCCCATGCCCTCCTAGGGAGCTCCTTGAGACACCTCCAGGGCCTCCACAGGCTGTAAAAAATACTCATGTCTAATTACCTCATTTTGAACATGGAGAGCTAAGGCCTGGGAGGTTAAGCATCTTGCTGAGAACTGTTGTCAAGGAGAAGACATCATCACAGCCCCTGTCCAGCTCTACCCTGCTCTCAAGTAAGTGTGGCCTTGGGGAATGGGCAGACCTAGGCCAACCTGCCTCCTCCACATAGGCCCCAGGTTAGATCTCAGTGAGATCTAATTCTTTCATAGTCGACCACCCATACTTGAGCCAACCAGGGATGTCAATGGTGTTGCATTAAAAGCAAACTTTAGAGCCTCCCCCGGCTCAGAACTCATGGGGAAAAGTCAGGCCAAGAAAACTGACGCTCTCTGTGCTAGGACGGAAAAAAAAAAAAAAAAAAAAGTTCTAACACAGCAAGCTAAAAATCTCAGCTCTGTGCAACAAAGAGGTCTGGATTCCCGGACGCACAGATGTTTGGGTCACACTCAAATTATGAGAACTCTCTGTTCCCTCCCGCCCTGCAGACAGCACCTCATTCAGACCTTGGCTCCTCATCCAAGCTCTGAGATGGAGCAAAGGGGACGGACGCATGCACTAGGCACAGTAAACAGCCAGGGAGCACGCAGGGACAGGACAATGACAGTTTCTGATTTGACTCAGGAGGACACAGATGCCTCACTCAGCATGTTGGCATGTTGGCCTGTAGATCTGGGAAGCTCCACAAATCTTTGAGCTTGGGTTCTTGGAACTTGGACTGGGGATATAGACTAGGGAGCATGCTTGCTGAGCACGCGTGAGGCCACGGGCTCCATTGCCAGTACCGAACAAACCGGCCATGGTAGTGCGTGTCAGCAATTCCAGTGTTCTGGAGGGTGCAAGTGGGAAGACACAAAGTTTAAGGTCATTCTTGACGACACAGCCTATGATAGATGAGACCCTGTCTCAAAAAAAAAAAAAAAAAGGAAAATGTCATGGAAATGATATGCCAATGTGAAGCGGGAGGTAGCATTTCAAAAATTTTGTTCTTTGTGACTGGTCCAGTATCTTCCTTATCAGCATCAATCAAGAACATAATTGGCCTAATGAGCTAATAAAGTCAATGTACTTCAGTAAACCTAAAGAGCTCCAGCTTGTGGTGTATTCAACTAAGACTCTAAATGGAATGGTGCCAAGCGGGATTTCCTTTCTGATGTAACTCGGGTAGAATTCAATCTAAGGCGGCTAAGAGCATACAGGTGCTTAAAGACGGCCCTTCACCGTGAACTCCCTGGCTGCTGATGACACGGGGAATGAAGGCTAACTGCTTCGATAGCCAACGAAATGTGTGAAAGCTCATGGCGAGTGAAAGGACGGATCGCTAGCATGTGCTAGCTTATACATTACAAGAACACACTCACTAGTGGCAGCTGTGACTGGCTAAGCAGGTGGAGAGCAGGGCTTCTTATCCCCGGCCCCTCCCTGTCCCCAGAAACTGGTGTCTGCTCCCCCACCAGGATCAAAACCCGGAACTGTGCCTTTCCCACAGCGCAAGCCACCCCAGGAAAACTTGGTGCAGAACTTACCCACGCACACTCCCCTGTCTGAGAAGTGGTAGCCCTCGACGCACTCACACCGGAAGGTTCCTGGGAGGTTGTTGCAGACTGCGTGGTTCCCGCACCGGGAAGGCTGCTCGGCACATTCATCGATATCTGCAGCAAATTGTTGATAAGAGGACAGACTTTTTAACCTCGTGAAACACCATCAAATAGAAAGCATTTTCCTCAGAGAGGAGATCCCTTTGAAGACACATTCTTCTACATGCCCAAGGTGATATAAAATAGAGATCGTTTTTTGTTTTGTTTTGGTTTGGTTTGGTTTTTTTGCCCTTTACATAACTTAGTGACGTATGTGTGCTTCCTCCTGAGTGAGTTACCAAGGGGACGAGTATCCAAACAAACCACTCATACCAGAATGGCAAGAACACATTGGAATGACACAGAGGACTGCTCTTGCAGAGGATAAAGGTTTGGTTCCCAGAGTAAAAGTAAGTAAATCTTTAAAATAAACTACCTTTAAGGCTGGAAAACTTATGGCCAATTGAGAATCTTTTAATGTTACCTAGGATTTAACGGGCTCAAAGGCAAGTTATTATATCATATAAATGGTGGAATGGTGGCCTTTCATGTGACAGAACTACAGCTATCGTGGGTAATGAGGAGCAAAAACGTATGCCTTGGAGCTGAACCAAACTAGGTTCAAATCCTGCCTCCCTTTGTTATTGACTTGTATGGGTAGGTTAACTACTCCACCTCAGTTTCCCAATTAGTAAATAAATATTATAATATTCATTGTGACATTATTTTGAGAGTTGGAGAAATTCTCCAATTCTAAGGGAACACACAGCACACTTAAGATGTGTAACCATGATTATAATCACCACACACCTATTCTATACCCTAGTGCATTCTGGGAACATAGCTCCCAGACATCTGACACACAAGTCTGGCTTCGGCTTGTCTATGAATACCAGTAGTGTAAGACGGGTTGGTTAGATGAGAAACGGTGCTGACTCTTAATCATGCCATCTGTCCAATGACAATCTAAAATTCGGGTCACAAGGCGCTTCCTCTGCTGGCCCCATATTCAGAGGGTCCTGAGATAGGTGTGTACAAAGGGTTTTATAAAGGCTGGGGCTATTCGACCCTCTCCCCTTTCAAGTTTCCTAATGTGAACCTAATGCAAAGCATCCTAGGTCCACCTTTGATCGATAGCTTATCCAACACCCTTCCTTGTTGGTTTAAAAAAAAAAAAAAAGGCTGCTGACTTCCTGGACAACCCAGCGTAAAAGCATTTTGCAACATTAGCCCCGTTTGTACTGTAGTTTGCTCTATACCTTCACACACCCGATGCTATTCAACATTTTAAAAGTGTGTGGAGGTGGGTGATGTACACACGTGTGCCATGGTTTAAGGTTTAGGATCTCTGTTGGGAACAGCTGGAAGGGTAGAGGACGGCTGGGGCTGGGATTGAGGACAGGTGTCACGGGAGCCCGCTTGCCAGCTGCTGCTCCCCCAGCATGGAGCACGGTCTCTCCCACCTACCACCTGTGCTCCCTGCGGCAACCAGGACCCTCACACCAGGTGGCCGGGCCCCTGTGCTGCCCTCAGACCCAGCAGCAGAGCCCCGGAGCAGAACAGCAGTTTTCCATCTGGAAGCCAGGGCCACGTCGTGGAGGGAGCGTGTCCAAGCCCCTTCATTGCTCGCTGGGAACACTGACAGAGAGGGGAGATGTGTTGTTCAAGAGCTGCAGAGGCCGCAGCCGGCCAACAGGGCCTTGGTGCACTGGGGTCGAGGAGGACTGCTCCCAGCCATCAGGTCTGTAAGGATGAGCCAGGCTGGACACCGCTGGTTTGGACAAAACCCTCCCAATGTACCCACTAAGATCCCATGGTCTTTCTTTACAGTTTGCCTATTTTTCCTCATGTGTGCTTTAAATCTCTTCTGTTAACAGAGTCCAGGTCCTTAACCCTTTCTTTCACGGACATGGCAAGGTGGTAACTATAGCAACTGTCTGCCATAGCACTCCATAACATCTGCTTGAAGAGGACGTTTCAAAAATCTGGTCAACTTCCTTTCGGAAAAAGAGAACCGCTTTTTAGCTGAATAGGAAAACCATGGGTTATTCATTTTTATTAAATAAAAGAAAAAATTTTTTTTAAACCTAGTATCTTCATGTAGCTCAGGCTGGCCTCAAACTCACAGTCCTATGGCTTCCACTACTGGGTGCTGGGACCACAGTTTGTTCCACACACTTGGAATTACTTTTTTAAATTGTTGTTGTGTGGTAGGGGTGGTGGTGTGTGTGTGAGTACGTGTGTGTGTGAATAAGGGTGAACACATGCCCCTGCATGCATGTGGAGGTCAGAGGACAGCCCTGGGGAGCCAGATGAGGCAGGGTCTCTCTGTGATTTCTTCTGTCATGTGCTCCGGCTTAGCTTGCCTTCAAGCTCCCTGGTGCTCCCAGTCTCTGCCTGCCGCCCTGCCGTAGGAATGCTGGGAGTGCAGGGGTACACCCCACATCCAGCTTTCAACAGGGGTCCTAAGGCTTGAACTTGGCCTGTCAGACTCAGGCAGTAGGCCACCTCACCAGTCCTAGAGTGATCCTGTGACTTTTCTCCACAGGGACTAGCTGGGTACGTTTTCAGTGACTCTAAGTCTGCAATTTCTTTCTTTCATGAATGCCTTGCCCTTTGAGGAGATGATCGATGTGTGGAATGTTTTCTAGAAACTCAAAATTTTACCCACTGAGATATTAACTGACACTGCTCCTCTGGACTGCAATTTGAGGGATATGTGGGTGCCTTGTGCCATGAACTTCAGGTGAATTCGTGAATTACTGGCTCTGAGATTCCCCCCAAAATCTCTTCCCAGTGGGAAGCTCACTGGGAGACTGTTAGCTAAAACCACTCTTGCTTTGCCTGTTGTTGTATCCCATAATAGTCAGTTCACTCCAGTTCCCCTCTCAGGAACGACCCCAAGTTAAAAACAACACACAAATCCAGATGCTTGATGCCATTTCCTGTCAAAAGCCTCGTGTCCAGATGCATTAACGCCACGTTAACACCGAGGCTTGTTCTGATAACTCAGAACAATAAGAAGCCTGACTCAGGACATGTCCACATTCCAGCAGGCTAATATCCCAGGACAGTGACTGACCAGGGACAAAAGCGAGAGCATGCATGGCCACCGGTCTTCCTGAATAAGGCTTACCAAGGATTTCCAGGGACAGCGGCCTACATAAGAGATGAGAGGGCGGGTGGGCAGGGGGGTTTAGAGGGTAACTCTGTGTCTCCTAAGAGGAGCGCTCTCTGGGAGAAGCTCAGACACCAAGAGCAGCGTGAGGAGGTCACAATAGGCAACGGCAGACACATCTCCTCCACATGTGATGGATAATATTGACGGTGAGCTAGACAGGACCTTAAATCACCTAGGAGACAAGGCTCTGGGCATGTCTGTGAGGGATTGTCTAGATTGAGTTAACTGAGATGGGAAGGCTTATTCTAACTATGCACAGTATAATTCCATGAGCTGCAGTCCCGGACTGAATAAAAAGGAGAAAGGCTGGATGCGAACCTCTCCCCTTCCTGACGCCAGTGTGGCCAGCCGCCTTGAGCTCCTGCTGCCGTGCCGTGTCATGATACATTGCACCTTCAAACTGTAAGCCAAAAATTAAACTTTTCCTTTCATGGGTTACTTTCTCAGGTGTTTTGTCATGGCAACAAGAAGAACAACTATTCTCCATAAATGTAGGTGGCTGATGGCATTATATACACATTGAGAAGGTATGGAGACCTAAAGGAATCCCTCATCTCTGACATGGTCCTCCAACCATCACCTTCACGGCAGGGTTCCACACACATAAAATAGCATAAAATAGCACCATGCTGCTTGGAACTGTCCTGAGCCAGTGGAGCCATTCATAACAGGAAAGGACTGGCCACTGACAGCCACAAGCAAGTCAGTTCTGGGTTCCCTCTCCCATGCTCTATGCTCAGATAGGCGAGTCCCAGGCAGAATAGTACCAGACACACACACAAAGTCATCAGCAAGCCACCCAAACCATCATCTCTGTAAGCACAAACCCCTGCTTGTCAGCGTTTCAGAGCCCCATGAGCAAGCATCCTACATGGAAGGGGTCACTCCAAAGCACCCCAGCCCTACATCAAGACCTACATACCAGAAGTACCTCTTGCTAACAAGATGGGATCCCAGAGCTCATCCAGCACGAGTCCCAAATCCTAAGCATGCTGGGCTAGCCAGGGCTGGTTCCCTAGTCATAGAAGGATGAAGACAGCAGCAGCCTATTTTGCTGGGTGGATTCTTGGGAATTCATTCCCCTCATTTGCCAGGGAAACCTACACCTAACATGTCTTCTTTTTATTTTATTTTATTTTGTTTTGTTTTGTTTTTGTTTTTCAAGACAGGGTTTCTCTTTGTAGCCTGTAGGCTGTCCTGGACTCACTTTGTAGACCAAGCTGGCCTCAAACTCAGAGATCCACCTGCCTCTGCCTCCCTGAGTGCTGGGATTTATAGGCAAGAATTTCTTTTTATTAGTGAGCACTTCAGTGAAAATTTAAGTGGCACTGGTTAAAGTGTCTGACACTCTTACCCTCAGCAATAGATGGTCCTTTGCTATTTTAATAGATTAAAATTCAGTCACCAACAAATATCAGGCTGTCTACACGAAAGTATTTGAAGTTTTGAACTTTAAATAACAAAATAACTGATACCAGAAGGTGGCACTACAGATGCTCCAGTAAAAGATCTAAGTGAGTCACTTGGCTCACTCCAGTGAGCTCACTTTAATGTCCCTGGCTCACATGAATAAACCTCAGCTCCTGTTAAAGAAGAAGCAAATGCTGACGAAGTTGTAGACAAAATTGGGCTTGGGAGCTAAAGAAGACAGCAAAACATTTGCCATGCAGGCATGAGGACCTGAGTGCCATCCCTAGAACCCTCACAAAAAGCAGGGCATTGAGGCGCATGCTTCCGATCCCAGGTTTGGAGAAGCAGAGCCGGGATCCCTGGGGCTTGTAGTGCAATTGGTAAGCTCTGGGCCAATAAGAGACCCTGTTTCAAAAGAAGTAGACAGAGTTCCTAACCAATGACACCTGAGATGCCCTCTCATGTCTGTATGCATGCAGTAAACCCCATATGTGTATGTGTGTGTGTGTGTGTATACAAAAAAATCATGGAGAAAACTGGGACTCCTGTACACTGTAGGTAGAAACGGAGAATGGTGTAGCTGTTGTAGAAAACAGCGTAAAGGGTCCTCCAAAAACTAAGCATAGAATGAGCCACCAGACTTACTTTGTTTATGCAAAAACAAAGCAAAAACTGAAAGCAGGCGCTTCAACAGAAGCCCTGTTCATCACACCCTTGTCTGCAATATTACAAAGGCAGATGCAATGTGTCCACTCACAAGGGGCTGCCAGCGGGTTCTAGAAAGCATCACTGGCGGAACACTCTGAAGGAAGATGCTCCTTTCATCTGAATGGATGGAGAAGCAAAGAACAAACACGCATCACGCGGTACATCATGCAGTGTGGCATTCAACCTCCAAAGGGAAAAAAACAGCCATTCCGACCCATGCCATGACATGGATAAATCTTGAGATTTGCACACATGATCTTGAATCTTGAGCAAAATAAGCTAGTGGCAAAAGGACAAATGCATACTGGTTCTAGAACCAATAGATTCATAGAGATGCAGCATTGAATGGTGAGAGACAGGAGCTGGGGGTGAAGATGTGCAACAGGGTACTGGGAGCTGTGGTCTAACAAACACAGTTTGTCGTACAAGATGATCCAAGCAAAGGATGATTGTGACGATGGCACCACGGCAGCCTGAGTGTGTTGAACAGCACTAAACTGCACATTTAAAAACGGTTTAAAACAAGGAACTTTGTTCTATTGCTGAGAAACTGATGATTGAAGGGCTGACGATTAAAGGTCAGCAACCCCCACCCCCACCCCAATGTTACCAAGGACACAGCAAGCGGGTAGCATACACAATCCAGGCACGGTACGCCTTTCGTGGTACGTTTTGTATGTCGCACATTCATTCTTGTGACATATACCCAGCTTCCTGGTTTACAGAACCTGGAGGCTCCCTCCCAGCCCGACGGACCAGAACCCCACACATCTGACCCCAAAGCACTACCGTAGCAGGTCCGCCCATCTCCTCGGAAGCCGACAGAGCATTCGCAGGTGAACTGTGTCCCGGAGCCAGGGCGACAAGCCGCGTTGCTGTCGCACCCGTGTGTGCCGATGTAGCATGGGTTCTGGAGGGCGTCAGGGGAGCCATCTGTGAAGGCAGAGACAGAGATCAAGAACCCTCCAGAATCCCTCCTGTCACAGGAAGTAAGCCACAGGGCAGCAGAGTAATGGAGACCAGGGCCTTGTGTGCTGCATTGCAGTGGGAACACCGAGCTCCACCCCTCTGACCCCTTCTTTGTTTCACTGACAAACAAGACTAAGTTGTGAAACTATGGCAGAAATGAGAGGTCTACTGGCTGAGACCAGAGTGTGTGTGTGTGTGTGTGTGTGTGTGTGTGTGTGTGTGTGTGTATTTTTCTTTTTTTTAATGAGAAATGGTCCCCATAGGCTCACGTACTTGAATGCTTGGTTACCAATTGGTGATGCTGTTTGAGGAGGTTGTGGAACCTCTGGGAGGTGAGACCTTGCTGGAGGAAGTTAGTTATGGAGGAAAGACTGAGCGTTTACAGCCTGGTCTGGTTCCGGCCCACTCTCTGCTTCAGGACTGCAGCCGAAGAGGTGATCTCTCACTTCCTGTCCAGCCTCCTGCTGCAGTACCTCCCCCACCCTCCTCTGGAGCCCTAAGGTAAAATTAACCCCTTCTTTCGTATGCTGATTGTGCTCCTGGTATCTTATATCACAGAAAAGCAACTAAAACATATTCACAACTAACACATGCCCACTGTAGAATGCTATTGAGCTGTGGAAAGAAAAGGCATCCTTCGATTCTGTCCACATGGGAGAGTCTGGAAATCATCACACTGAGTGAAAAATCAGTCAGGCACAGAAAGACAAGTACCACCCAGTCTTACATGTGAGAACTAAATATGTTGATTTTACAGAAGGATCAAGAAGAATGGCTACCTGAGGCGGGGAAGGATGGAGGAGCTGGGGAGAAGGCCAGAGGACAGCTAGCAGGTCCAAGGGTGCAGTTGGATGGAAGGAGTAAAGTCTAGTGTTTTATGGGCACAGTGCGGGTAGCTAAGGTTGACATCAAATAATTACACGTCAAAATACAGAAGACTGAATGTTCGCAACATTGACAAATGCTACATGTTTGGGATGGACATGGCCCTAACCACTGCTTCCTGGAGATACCGGTCAAATTGGTTAGCTCATGTAACACACTTTGAACAATTATTAATGTCATTCTTGGTTTTTGTTTTTGTTTTTTTTTTGAGACAGGGTTTCTCTGTGTAGCCTTGGCAGTCCTGGCCTCGCTTTGTAAACCAGGCTGGCCTCGAACTCACAGATATCCACCTGCCTCTGTCTCCCTAAGTGCTGGGATTACGAGTGTGCCCAGCTGAAGATTTATTTATTTTACATATATGAGTGCTCTACCTGCATGTACATCTGCATGCCAGAAGAGGGCATCAGATTCCAGTATAGATGGTTGTGAGCCACCGTGTGGTTGCTGGGAATCAAACTCAGGACCTCTGGAAGAGCAGACAGTGAGTGTTCTTAACCACTGAGCCACCTCTCCAGCTTTTAATGTGATTCTTTACTTTAAATAAGTAAAAATGAGGTTTAAAAAAAAAAGTTCTATAGAGCCAGAAGTAGCCTTTGGCTGGTTGGCTCTGTGAGGGAACTTATCAGGGTAGCATTCTGCCCTGATAGCTCATGAATAAATAGCCCAGATACCACCATGAATAGGCCCTTGGTTGAAAGAACAAAGGCGGGTCTGTCTGCCAAGAGCCACTGATGACCCCATGTATTTCTTTTTTCTCTTTCACAGGATGTCTGACCATCATTTCCTTCTATAGACTGAAAGAGACCAAAATCCCTAATCCAAGAAGCAGAAATTTGATGGGCATAACTACTGAGTCATGTACAGGCGCGCGCGCACACACACACACACACACACACACACACACGCACACAGACACACACACAGGCCCCATACTCCTTACCCCTCACAGGCCCAATGGAGTTGCTGAGGGCATAGCGCAAGATCCTCTCCTCCTGGTTGTACAGGACAAACACGCTGTCCACAGAGAGCTGCTGGGTGCTGGGCAGGGCTGGCCTGGAGTTATCATGGACACACTCCTGGAAGGTGATGGTCTGACGCCACTGGTAAACATGGGTGCGGGAGGGTGCGTCGCCATCCCGATCAGGCTCAGTCACCGTGTATTCCCGGGTGGAGGAGGAGGTGATCACTGAGGTGTGAGAGAAAGAGATTCATTGGAGGCAACAGCAGTGGTTCCTGCTCACGACGAAACGAGATGGCAAGCCTGGTTGCGGCATCTTAAATAAGAGAATGTGTGTGTGCTTGGATGATTCCTGCGCCTTCTCCTCTCCTACAGCGTCAATGGTGGCGCTCACATCAGTCCTTGCTCACTCCTATCCTCTAGAGATGAGTGAGATCCGACAGGAGCAGAAGCTCAGGAGGTGTCCCTAGACTCGTTCTTCCCACCCTGTGGCAGGTGAGGTGGGAACCACCAGCCAGGTACTAGCTCCTTTTGCCCCAGCTTCCCTTTCAGAAGGAGTTGAGGGTGAGAATCTGATGAGATCTCATGTGTGGATTACATGGAATCAGGCGGCATTTGAACTGGTTTCCACAGATTTTCTTACTTAGGAATCAGTCAATTAGTGGTCGCTCCCCAACCATCTTAGACTAAATAGTTGTGTGCCATTAAAAGATACAATATGGGATGTCATGGAGCAGCCAATTTTGGAAGCGCTAACCTCAGCCAAGGAGAGGGGCTCTTCATCAAGAAGAGCATCAGTCTAGGCCAGGCAACAAAGCCCTCCACTTCCCTTTTTGTTTTTTGTTGTTGTTGGTTGTCTTTTTTTTTTTTTTTTTTTTTTAAGTATAAAGGACCCTTTTTATTTCTGAGTTCTGCTGCAGCCTGCTCCACATGAGAACCAGGAAAGCCAGAGGATAAATAAAAGATCAGTGTTTGCTGTCTCCCATCCAGCTCCCATGTGCTGGCTGCCAGCGGGCCATCTGGCTGCATGCAGGCAGTCTGGGGACCTCGGCCTTGTCTCCTCCCTTCCACAGGTTCCCAGGCCCCCAGAAAGAAATGAGACTGAGTTGCAGAGGCCTGGCCAAGGGTACCACCTTCCCAGATGATGCCTTAACAGCACCATTATTAAAAGCCAACTCGTGTTTGACTCAGAGTCTGTCTCTAGGCGTTGAGTTTCCAAAATGGGTCAGAAAGTTAGACCTGATAACGCAGGCCTGTCACCCCAGCTTCTTGGGAAGCTGAGGCAGGAGGTTTGCAAGTTCAAGGCTCCCTTGAGCTACAGAATGTGTTCAAGTTCAGTCTAGGCAACTTAGTGAGATACTTGTTAGGGGTCAAACCTGGGACAAAGGGCTGAGGTGCCTATTTAACACATCAAAGGAGATGCTGGCTGTCCCTGCTCCCCTTGTCCCTACCTGTTACAGGGCTCCCCTGGTTGGCACACCTACTCCCTCTATACCTTTGGGCCTTCTGGCTGACGCACCTGGCCCCCTTCTACCCCCTCGCCCTTCCTCTACCGGCTCTCCTCACGTGGCACAGCTCGGTCTGGTCATACTCACTCTGGACTCTCCCACTGACTATAGCCTCCCACTAGGCTCTCCCACACATCTGTAATAAACTTTCTCCTCCACCATCCCTAGGAGTGGTCATGGCCTCACGTTTCCTTTTTATTTCTTTTTTTTATTAAATACTAATTAAAAAAAAAAAAAAACTAAAACTTTATAAAAACAAAAAGAGGGGCCGAGGGTGTAAGCCAGCGGTAGGTCATTTGGCTAGCATGTACAAGACCCGGGTTTCATTTGCACTATTGCAAGAGACAGAAATTTGGCCAAGAGCTTGGGATGTAGCTCAGCATTACGGTGTTTGCCTAAGGAATCAGTTCAGTCCTCAGCGGCATAAACAAACAAACAACCAGAAATTCGGCCAAGATTCGTGATGCAAGGGGCCATTTCATCTCAGCATGAGGAAGGGGAAGCTAGCATAACCTACATTTCTGACACTAGGAGGACCACCCAGTAGGCTGGGACAGATTCCTTAAAAGGACCTTTCAAAGCTGCTTAATGAAACTAGTAAAAATTCACCATCTAACTGGAAGGTTAAATCGTAACAACACACTACAACTGATTTAAATGAAAACGACATGCCAGAGATGACAAACTGGTTCTTCTATGCTGAATATGCAGAAGCCAGATGTCATGGCTCATACCTGTAAACCCAGTACATGGGAGACAGGGGCAAGAAGATGGCTTTCAGTTGGAGAGAAGTTTGGGCTACAGAGCTTTAATAATCATCCTGACTTTTTAAATGGTTCTGACGGGCCATATAAGAAAATACTTTTGTTCTTAGGAAAGAAATATCTAAAGCACTTAAGTGATGATCTATGAGGACATTACTTTTCAACACTCGTGGAGAAAGGGGTGTGTGTGCGTGTGTGTGTGTGTGTTTTACAATATAGGCGGCAAATGTTAGGAACTAGCCAAGCTAAATAAGTGGCACACAGAGTTCTTGCCAGTCTTTTAAACTGCAAACAGATGTCAAAGGAGAATAAGTGTAAAAACTACAAATATATAAATTATACTAAAATCTTAAATCATAGAATATTTTGGATATATGACATAAGTACAGATGGTAGACACCAGAGAAAAGGTTGCAAAATATATTTAAAAGTCTAAAAATTATATATAGGCTGATTCCCTGAGGTTCCTTTTTGTCATTTTGGTTTGTTTGTTTGTTTGTTTGTTTCTAGCCTTAAACTAGTGTGTACCTGAGGATGACAGTGACTTCTGATCTTCCCAATTCCACTTCAAAAATGCTGAGACTTACAGACATATGCCACCTGACCTGGTTTATGCAATGCTGGGGGTCAAACTTAGAGCTTCATACATTCACTGTATGTGGGTAAGCACTCAACCAACCCAACTCAACTACGCCATTTTCTGGCTGTCGGTTTTCGGTCTTTGAGACAGGGTTTCTCCGTATAGCCCTGGCTGTCCTGGAACTCGATCTGTACAGCAGGCTGGCCTTGGACTCACAGTGATCTGCCTGCCTCTGCCTCCCAAGTGCTGGGATTAAAAGCGAGTGCCACTACCGCCCAGCTTCTGGGTGTTGCTTTTGGTTTTTGCTATGTGGTTCAGGTTGGCCTGGAGCTGTAGCAATCCTTCTAAGTCAGCTTTCCAAGGTCGGGAACGACGGATGTGTCCCAACACATCTTATTTTTGAGGGAAAGGGATTAAAGAACCTTCTGCGTCTCCTGTTGCAGATGCTAGGAAGACTGTCCCAGGTACTCATGGTCATCACAGTGGGTGGGAACATGCAGACCGGCAGGCTGCCCCAGGACTCCCCGTTCTGGACTTACCTGAGCTGGAGTAGTGGTACAGCTCCGTGTAGGGCTCAATGTGCACCGAGGAACCATGGGGGATGTGAGGCACTCGGCCCTCCAGCTCTGTGTTGATGGTTAGGTGGCCATGCTCATCGATCCCACTGAACTGCTGCTTCAGGACCAGCTTGCCTGGGTGCCCCACAAAGCTCACCTCAGCTTGGCGGGTGAACTCACCCCCTGAAAAGCAAGACAGGCCTGTCACCCTGCCGTCTGGCCAGTACACCCTCCTCCCGGCCCTAAGTACATGAAGTGAGAGACAGGCAGAGAACTCTTCTGTCCTGGCTTGTCAACTAAGCCAGACTCAGAGCTAAAAGTACTGTGTGGTATTTATTTCTCCCATGTAGAATCTAGTCTTAAATTTACATGTTCAGTATGATATATTTAAGTATATTATATATTTGTAGAACACACTAAAGGAGAGCCTGAGGGGAAGAAAAGATATAAGGGGGAGGGGGAGGAAAATAAGAGAGGGCAATGGGGTACATATGACATGAAACAGGAAATGGTATTGATTGGGGGGGGAGAGTAAGGGTAGAGGGAGAATGAAGATCTAGTGAGTAGGAGGCAGCCCAAAACAATAGGTACAGGTCCTGGAAATGATGATCATCTCTGCGCTGGCTAGTTTCATTCAACTTGACACAAGCTAGAGTCACTGGAGGGGAAGGAGTCTCAGTTGAGAAAATGCCTCAATAAAATCAGGCTACAGGCAGGCCTATAGGGTATTTTCCTAACTAGTAATCGATGTAAGAGGACCCAGTTCATTGTGGGTGGTGCCATCCCTGGGCAGATGGTCCTGGGTTCTATAAGAAAGCAGGCTGAGCAAGCCAGCAGGAATAAGCCAGGGGTGCTACTGCACCAGCTCCTGCCTCTGGGTTTCTGTCCTGTTTCAGTTCCTGTCCTGACCCCCTGTGATGATGAACAGTGAGGTGGAAGTAAAAGCCAAATAAACCCTTTCCTTTTCAACTTGCTTTTGGTAGTGGTGTTTCATCATAGTAGTGAAAACCCTAACTAAGACAGAGTCAGACTCCTCCGCCCTGGGTTCCATGGAGCACCCACAGGGAGCTGACCTTGGCAGATCATGGGAGGAGACACTATGACGTCAAGCAGGGATCCCTTCAACGATCTGCCCACATACCCACAAAAGACTCAGCCTTCCTTACAGGGCATGGCCCCTGAGAGCCTCCAAAGTTTCCTGCTACCCAAGAGGATGGTGTCGATCAGGTTGGACCTAGCAGCTAGAAGGGGCAGTTCTTTTTCCGGAGCAGATATGGAGATATTAAAGGCCAGTTTCAGATGGGTGAGTACATGAACTGATAAGTTGTTCAACCTTAGGGACTTGTCTATGTCTGTGTGCAGGTCTGTGAAGATGGGGGGGAGGGGAGGCGGGTGTCTGTGTGTTCAGGTTTGTGTGCAGGAGCGCAAATGTGCAAGCACACCTTTGACACGGGTATACTGGTATGGGAAAGGGTGTGTACATGTTTGCGGGTGTTAGCGTACACCCGTGTGTAAGGCTGTGTGTGGTGGCCGGAAGTCAGCCTTGGATGTTTTTTTCTCAAAAGTTACCCACCTTGTTTTTTGAAACAGAGTCTCTCACTGGGACCTGGGGCTCCCCAGTTAGGCTGGCTGGCCAGCGAGCCCCAGGGAGCCTGTCTCTGCTTCCCAAGCACACACTGTGGGTTCCAGGCAATGGGCACAGGTCCTGATGCTTGCCAGGCAAGCACTTTAGTGGCTGTGCTATCTCCTCAGCACCAAATGTGGAAACTTCTAAATCCCCATCAAGAAACCATTCCTCCATCAAAGCACACCTCCACGTGGCCTCCCCTAATTAATATGCTGTCCATGGATTTTTTCTTTGCCCTTATTTCTGAGGCAGAACTAGGGGCCTCTGTCCACAGGAGAAATGCTTCCAGGTGTGTGCAGACTCGGGGTTCCAAACCTGCCCTGTGACTGTTTTAAATGGGGAGATCCATTACCAGTGATGCTAAATCCGTTCTTGAACCCATCCTGCTCCACTGCAAACATCCATCCGATGATGCCTCCGATGGGTGCCAGGGGAAGCAGAGAATAGCCGACGGTTTCGGGGATGGTGCTGATGGCTGTGTAAGAGCGCCCGTGGTTCATCACCACGTAGGAGTGTAGGTCAGTGTTCTCAAACACCACAGGGACCTGGCTGCTCCCCACGAAGATCCTTCCCTTCACCTTGCCGTTGACCCGCTGAGGGGAGCCTGGGCCAGAAACAAGGGGAGAGGGTGAAGACGACTTTCCCCTACCTTCCAAAGAGAAGGATATGTCTACTCATCAGGAAAGCAAAGAGGTAACACTGTGTGGGAAATGGCTATTGGGAACATGAAAATACTTATACCTGTGATTGTGTGCCATAAGCCACAGACATTCCAAGGTTCCTGTCTCTGCTGCACGTGGCTGCCACAGATGGACAGAACTCTAGGTACCCACCTGTGCACCAGGAGCCTCAGGGCTGCCAGCAACTCTCATTTCTCCCACGTGACTGATGACAGAGTAAAATCTACCCACAGTTGTATATGACAGACAGTAAGAGTCCCAGCACCACACAAGCGTAAGGACCTGAGTTCAGACCCCAGGGCCCATACAAAAAGCCCAGCGTGGGAATGCACGCTTGTCACCTCAGCTCTAGGATAGAGAGGGAAGCCAGCAGGATCCTTGAGGCTGGCTGGTCAGCCCGGCCAGCTGGTGAGCTCGAGCCTCCATATGTATGTACACACTAACACCATACGTGCATAGTACACACACACACACACACAGGCACATGAATTATACTGCAAAGTAAGAACGAAAACTGAAGGAAAATATAAGTGAAAGGCCACCTTGCAGAGAGTTAAATTCTTGAAGGTTTTTCCCTTTTCCTTTGGCAGATGAGATTGACCCGGGGCTTTGCCACTGAACCCCACCCCCGGTCCACTCTCAGCCACTGGGGAAATTTCTTATTTATTTTTCTAGCTTGTGAATGATCAGGAACATGGCCTCCACCCCCTCCCAGACACGGGGATATGTTCCTGAGTGTCATCTACGTTCTGAGGAAAGCTGCTAAACGAGGTCACCAATCAGCCAGGACATATCTGACATGAAGTAACTTGGACATCATTGTGTCATTACACTGGGGAATGCTATGGCCCTTGCAGGACAAAGGGGGTAAAAAAAAGCACTCTGAGAACATTACAGAAACAAGGAAGGAAGCCAAGTTAAGAAAGCCAAATAAAGTGCTTCCACTAGGCTCTAAGCTAGCTTTATTTCCCTTGTTTTTTGAGTCAGGGCCTCTCACATTCAGTAGCCCTAGCTGGCCTGGAACTTACAGCCACCCCGAGGCCCCACTGTTAGGATTATAAGAATGAGGCACCACGGCTGTATTAAAAAAAGAAAAGAAAAAAAAAATTAAGTAGCAAGAATCCAACAAATATTCACACCATAAAGCAGTTATAAGCATACATAATGTCAAAATGCATGGCCAAACAGCTTGTCATGCCTGAGCTCAATGCCAAAGTCTGCTCAGCATTTTTAGCTCTGATATTTGGGAGAGGGGAGAGCTAGCGCGGTGGCTCTTTAAGAATATGCTTTTGGGCTGAGGGAATGGCTCAGCTGATATAGAGTGTTGCCTGGAAAACACAAGGTCCTGGGTTCAATACCCAGCACAAGGGAGGGAGGGAGAGAAGAAGGAAGAAAGGGTATGTACTTCCATGTGGATTTTGGAAGCTTTTCCTAGGGTGAAAGGTATAAAAGCCAAGCCTAGCACAAATAGTCAAAAGCACTCCACCCCTGGGGTGACAGGATTTGGAAGAAAATAGAAAATACTTCAAAATTAAAAACATTTTTCCAACCTAATGTGACATCTAAACTGTGTGTCGGTTCATTGCTGAAGATAGATGAAAATAAAACAAACCTCACTTTCCTTAATCATGACCCAGAAGGAAACAATTTGTGTGTGTTTAAATGTGGCAAACTAAAACAACTGATTTCAGGACAGCTATGACAAGGAATCCGGAAAACAGAAAACATATCTCCAATTAGATCTTAATTAGTGAGATTTTACTGATCAACTGAAGTCTTCCATTAAGCACACGTGAAAGTGGCCTGTGACAAACGAGTCGATTATAGTAAGATTCTATCTTTTTTTTTTTCATTCTAATTTATAGCCCCAAAGGTCTCTAATGGCTGTAACAAGAACCCTTAGACTTACACAGAAGATTCCTCTGACTATGTAGGCGAAGGGACTAGCCAGTCCTTTGGGGACAGAAGTCAAAGCTGACCTCAGCTATCATGGAATCCGCTTTGGAGCTAGATGTGCATTGGGTTTGACGAGCCAGGACTGAGGACAACACCCTGTGGGCATGCTCTGACTTTAGGGACTTGAGGAAAGGAGGTGGGGGCAATGGAAAAACTGAGCCCACTACATACCCTGATCTAAGCCAGACAGGGAGGGACAGAGATGTGGGCGGGGAGAAGGAGAAAGGAAAAAAGGGAGGGAGGGAGGGAAGAGAAGGAGAGAGGGAGAAAGAGAGAGAGAAAGGAGAGAGATCTACAAGTAATGAATGTCCTCAGAGCTAGAGACTCAAGTCAAATACTGGATAACACGCTGCAGCCCCAGCACTCTACATGTGGAAAATCTCAAGTCGGAGGTCATCCCGGGCTACACAGCAAGATGCTGTCTCAAAAGCAAACGGCTCACTGAGGACTCCAGAGACAAAGCTATTAGTGAAAAAAATAAAATTTAAAAATGCGGGGAGAACAACTGGTCCTGGATGCATCGTCTCAACACTTGGGTCTTTTCTGTTGCAGTCAGGGGACAGCTATGGAGAGAAAGGCTCCTGACGGTTGTCAGCCCAGAAATGAGGAAAACAAGATAACGTGCCGTATCGAAAATCATTGGACATCCTGGAAGGAATGCCCATCAGAGAAGGTAAGAGAGATGATATCGTTAAAAACTACATGTTCAAAAAAACAAAACAAACAAACCCTACATGTTCCAGAGAGCGGGGCGCCAAGTACCAAGACCCAAAGCCACACCTTCTCCTTCTCCCTGAAGCTGAAAATGCTCACCTTCTGCCACGCACTGCCTGCCGTTGCCCGTGTAGTTGGCCACACACCTGCAGCAGAAGCCAGTAGCATAGTCCCTGCACTCCGCATGCACGGAGCACTGGTGTCGATTGTTGGCACACGTCTGCTGGGAGCCTGTGTTGTAGGTGAATACTGTTCGGAGAGAAAGGAAGCAGGCCTGTGAAAGCTTTGCACGTTCCAGCCTGAGAGGCACTTCCGCACGAGCGCCCTGGAGCCAAATGCACTCAAATCTATCTAAGACCTTCAAGGGGCCAGCCTGACCACAGCAGACTAAAGCCCTTGGCATGAGTGTGGCCATTTGGGTAAAGGTAGGGCTTCATAACTCAGACCACTGACAGAAACAAGTCTAAAAGAAGCTGAGAAATCATTAAATATGAATGCTTAAAAACTGTCACAACGCCGTGTATTCTGTGTCAATCAATATGAGGTTCCCTCACCCAGTGACAATCTTAGGTGGTGGTCATCTAATATGGTCAGAAGGAGCAGCTTCATTTGGCTGCTTTTATCCCCACCACATTTTGTGGGTGTTTTTTTTTTTTTTTTTTTTTTTTTTTTTTTGAGAAGTCAGGGTCTCCTGTATCCCAGGTGGCCCTCAAACTAAGGAACTGAAAATGACCTTGAACTCCTGATCCTCCTATCTCTACCTCCTCAGTACAGGGCTGACGGGCATTTGCCACTCTGCCTGGTTGATGGAGTGCTAGGGGCAGAAGTCAGAGCTTTGTGCATGCTAGAAAAACACCCACCACAGAGCTACACCCCAGCCCCAGTCTTTCTTTCCATAAATAATTTCTTGTGTAATAAAATACATATTAAAATGCCATTTAACCTTCTTTACATAATCTGTGTGTGTGTGTGTGTGTGTGTGTGTGTGTGCACTCTTACCCCTTTCCCTCAGGGGTAATTCAGAAGCTCTGATACTCAAAAGCTGATCACTATAGAAATCACACACACACAGAGATAAAGAGGTCATGAATTTGAAAGAGAGCAAGGCAGGGATGAACATGAGAGGGTTTGGAAGGAGAAAAGAAAAGAAAAGAAAAGAAAAGAAAAGAAAAGAAAAGAAAAGAAAAGAAAAGATAGAAAATGATGTAATTAATCCTCAGGTAGTTCTACTGGCTCCAGCTGCCTGGAATTTCCAGTGTGTATAAAGATGACTGAAGAGACTGAAGCCCAGGACACCCGAGTAAACTTGAGAGCTTTCTGATTACGTGAGATCAGCCGGGAATACCCCACTGGTGGGTCCTGCTGTTTGGTATATCTGAGTGAAACTATTTAAACAGCACCAGAATGTTACTGTAGGCCTCAGACAGCTGATGTTTCCAATAAACAGTGAAATAACTGGGAAAGGGGACAAGAAAAAAAAATAGCCATCTGTCACAGATACATTTTAAGTTCAAGTCCAGGCTTCAGCTACTATCACCACCATTTGTTGTTGGGGAGTAAATAAATGTGACAGTTTCATAAACATAAATTTTAGATATTTAGGAATGGTATTTTTTTTTTTTTTTTTTTGAGACGGTTTCTCTGTGTAGCCTTGGCTGTCCTGGGCTCACTTTGTAGACCAGGCTGGCCTTGAACTCAGAGATCCGCTTGCCTCTGCCTCCCAGAGTGCTGAGAACTAAATGTTTCTAAGAAGTCTTAAAATGACCTCTTACGTAGAAAGAGTACAGAGTCCTATGCGATACATTGAAAAGTTCTATCTCTCCCATTTATTTGAGTTTGATAATTTGCTGCTCTTTAAGGACCCAAGCTTGATTCCTGACACCTGAATGGCAGCTCACAACCATCTGTAATTCTAGTTCCCAGGGAATCTTATGACCTCTTCTGGATTCAGGGTACCAGGCATGCAGGTAAAACACACATACACAGCCAGCCTCAGTGGCGCATGCCTGTGATCCCAGCACTAAGGGAGGTAAAGGCAGGTGGAACTCTGTGAGTTTGAGGCAAGCCTGGTTCTACAAAGTGAGTCCAGGACAGTCAGGGTTCCACAAAAAAACCTATCTTGAAAAACCAAAACAACAACAAAAACACATACACAGAAAATAAAAATAAATAAGTCCTTTAAAAAAAAAAAAAAAAAAAGATCCCTCATGAGTGTCCTAGTTTTCTTGTTGCCATGATTTAAAAGATTCTGACAAATCCTGGGCAGTGCTGGCACACACCTTTAGTCGAAGCACTGAGGAAGAGAGGCAGGTGGAGTTCAAGGCCAGCCTCGTCTACAGAGTAAGTTCCAGGACAGCCAAGGCTATACAAGGAAACCCTGTCTCCATCAGGGAAAAAAAATCTGATGAGAAACACCTTAGGAGAGAAGAGGGTTTTTCTGACTTGCAACTCCCATTGCACAAGGCAGGGATGTGAGGTGGCCAGTCATCCCACAGCCACAATCAAGAGCAGAAGGGAATGAATGCACATATGGCTCTGCTCAGCTAGCTTTCTCTCCGCTTATACAACGCAGCGCCCCAAACCGGGGAAGGATGCCGCTCACTCTCAGGCTGGGGCTGCCTACACCCATCAAGGCGATCAAGACAGCCTGCCACAGACATACCCACAGGTGAACCCGAGGCAGACATCCTTCTTGAACACGCTTTCCAGGTGACTGTTCAAAGTAAACAATTAAAACTAACCGTTATAGGTCAGCCTCAAGGAAAACACAAGCACATTTGGAGAATCCCTTATAATATTTAAGGGATGCTCAAGTGAGCTTTCACAAAATGTAGGAAATACTTGACAAATATGGTTGATTAGAATATACCATACTGTGCAGTGCACTCCTCTAATCCCAGCGAGAGAGAGAGAGAGAGAGAGAGAGAGAGAGAGAGAGAGAGAAAGGTCTTTAGAAAGCAACTCTACAAATGACAAGAGGAAAACTAATCAGCTGCTTGAGTTCCAAAACCAAAAAATGTGAAAGAAAAGCTGCACGAAGAGCCAAAAGGAGCTTCTGGAATGTTTTTTCAGGTGGGTGAATACATCTCAGGAGTCACAAATAAGAAACTTGAGTTTTACAATATTATTCTAAAGTCTTTTCCTCCTTCTCTTTTTGGTTTTTGAGATAGGATCTTACCGTATCCCAGGGCTGGACTGGAACTCGCTATGTAGCTGGAAATTTTGGTTCCCCTGCCTCAGCATCTATAGTGTTGGGCTAACAGCACTCAATAAGGACATTCTTTTAGTTTTGGTTTTGTTTGTTTTTGAGACATGGTTTCTCTTTGTAGACCTTGGCTGTCCTGGAACTCACTTTGTAGACCAGGCTGGCCTCCAACTCACAGAGATCCACCTGCCTCTGCGTCCCAAGTATTGGGATAGGGTTAGTGTGTTTTACCACTGTCCAGCCAACAATGACATTTTTAAAGAAAAAAAAAAGTATTAGCCATATTATGGTAGTGTGTGGTTTTAATTCCAGCACTGGGGAGGCAGAGACAGCAGGATTTCCAAGAGTTTGAGGTCAGCCAAGTTTATATTAAGTTCCAGGCCATTCAGAGCTTCGTAAATGAGACCCTGTCTTGAAAAACAAAACAAAAAAAACCCTACAACTCTATCTATCTATCTATCTATCTATCTATCTATCTATCTATCTATCTAACTATCATCTATTTGTATGTGTATGTCAGAGGACAGTTTGGGGGAATCATTCCTCTCTTTCTACTAGATGGGCTCTGGGATATCAAATTTAGGTCATCAGCTCTTTTACCTGCTGAGCCATCTTTTCCTGGCCCTGACTCTCTTTAAACAGGATCCATTTTGAGGAATCTTGAAATGAGGCATATCCCTACTGTGTCTCGAAGCAAAGCTCTAATCCTAAAAGATCATTGGGTCACTTGGAAGCCACTGGGCCTATGCACCAATTGCTCTTCAGAGAGATAATTCAGTCCCTGCTCCCAAGAAAGCCACCTCATGGGTACATGACCCAACCTGCACTAGCTAGCTCCTGTCTAGAAATCCAAGCAGGCAAAAAAAAAAAAAAAAAAAAAAGTTCCAACCTGTAAAACAGTTATGTCTTACCAACTCCTGTTTCTTCTACTTCATCCACATCAATGACCTGGGGGTGCTGCTGGGGGAACCTCTCCGCTGGCAATTGGAAAGATCTGGTCCTCTCAGTGGGGGCTCCATGGGGTCTCTCTGTAGCCTCATAGCCAGGAGAGAGGACCCTGGGCACATTGTGTGGGTCAGAGTTTCCCCCTCTGGGACTTTGGGTGACTACATCCTCCAGGCCCAGACGAGGGGATGCTAGCTCGTAGTCTTCGTCCTCGTAGTCTCCATCGTCATCCAGGTCCAGGTTCACATCTGCAGGCACCACGCCCTTGGCAGTAGCGGGACTCCCAATCTCAAACACCCATACACCCTGGTGCCCAGCATTGCTGCTCCTAGAGGCAAGGAAGGGATCTTGAGAATAGGCCGAAGCCCACAAGCAGCCCCTATTAACCAAGCAAGCTCGGGAAGAGCTCAGGTAACCTGTATCCATTGGAAACCTGTGGCATGGGTCTACTCTCTGCAAGGGTTAGTGCCCAGGATGGCAGCATGTGCCATGTGCATTCATCGAAGAGCTCATGCAGGCAGGGACTATTTAAAGAGACTGAGTCTAAGTAGACACAGCACCATGAAGAGCTTACCCTCGGCTAGCTCTGTGGTGCACACCTGTAATCCCAGCACTCAGGGAGGCAGAGGCAGGTGGATCTCTATGAGTTCGAGGTCAGCCTGGTCTACAAAGTGAGTCCAAGACAGCCAAAGCTACACAGAGAAACCATGTCTCGAGAAGAAGAAGAAAAAAAGCTTACCCTCTAGTACCATCCCGGGACCCTGAGGACTCTAAATGCCACCAGCTCATGCTAGTCACTGTTTATATGCTCTGTCTCATGAGCCAAAGTGACCAGAGATTTATGTCACTTTTGTCTTTTCATTGCATGGAGTAAAATCTATTTGGTTTGTTTGTTTTTGAGATAGTTTCTGTTTGTATCCTTGACTGTCCTAGAACCTACTCTGTAGACCAGACTGGCCTTAATCCGCCTGCTTCTGCCTCCTGAGTGCTGACATCAAAGGCATGCACCACCATGCATGGCTGATATTTGTATGCACACAGAACATACAATTGGTTTTTATCCCTGGCGCCTGACCCTAGGAGCTCCCTTGACCCTTGGAATTTCCAATGTGATAAAAGTGACCTTTCTATGCTAATGAGATGGCTTTTTGTTATCTATTATTCATCTCATTAGCATAGAAAGGTCACTTTTATTATTAAATCATCTCATTAACTGACTAAACCCATTGGCCAAAAGACCAAACTAGGATAGAAAGTTCTGCTCCTTCCCAGCCCTGTTCCATTCCCGTTTCCAGGGAGGATTCGGGCTTCCAACATAGTCCATCACCTATGGTCAGTGAAGTCAACTGCCCCACATGATGCAACTTCAAAATAAACGCCATTTGCTGGGTAGGTGTGTGAAGGGAGGTGCTGGAAGGCGAAACGAAGAGAGGGTAAGAAACCACAGCAACTCACCCCATTCCTTACCCTCCCTTTCTTTCTTCCTTTGCTGTTACTGCAGTGTGTTCTTTGGTGTATAGATGTGGAAGGGGGGAAGGGGCACTGTGTGCAAGTACACAAGCAAACAGAGGCCAGAGGTCAACCTCCAGCGTCATTCTTCAGGTACCATCCACCTTGGGTTTCTTTTTTTTTTGAGACAGGGTACTTCACTGCCCTGGGGTTCACTAAGTAGACAAGGATGGCTGGCAAAATGGCAGGAGTCCATCCACCTCAACCTCCCGGTGCTAGATTTATAAGCAGACACCACCACACCTGGCTTTTTATGTGGGTTCTGGGAATGGCAGCCAGGTCCTGTGCCAACTGAAATGTTTCTCTAGTGCTGTGGGGTTTTTGTTTTTGTTTTAGGATTTGTTTTATTATTTATTTATGTGTGTGTGTGTGTGTGTGTGTGTGTGTGTGTGTGTGTGTGTGCGCATCTATATGTATATGTGCATGAGCATGCAGATTCCCAAAGTGGCCAAAAGGGGTCATCAGATTCCCCAGGAGCTGGGCTTACAGATGGTTGCGAGCTATTGGACTTGGATGCAGATGACTGGACTAGGATCCTCAGGAAGAGCACCAGGCACTCTTAATTGCTGAGCTATCTCGAGCCCTCTGAAGCGGTTCTTTATACTTCCTTGGGGATAGTAACGTTATGGGCTTTTCTGAGCTATGTGAGCTGTTCTATTAAATTACTGAGCCTGAGAGTAGACAGAGCCGGGAAAACTGCCTTACACTGGTGTGGTCAGAAGCCCAGGTACAATCGTAGGACCTGGGCACCGGCAGCTGAGGTGGGGGCACCTTATGGGACGAGGCTGTAGAGCTGTGGAGTCTGCATGGATTCCAGGTAGCTAATTGGTGCCAGACCTGATCTTAACTACAGGACACTCAGCCAAGCATCCAGAGAATCGAGAATTGGTTGGTGGGAGGGGAACCCCACCCACCCATGTTGGTCAGGGGACCTGTGTATGAAAACAGTACTCGTACTCTGAAAGGCAAATGAGATCCAAAACTCCGAGGCAGTAAACACGCTAAATACAACAGAGTGACCCTAACCTCTAATTTTTGACCCAGCATTTTAATTATTCTTATCTGTGATCAGAAGCATTCCTTTCAGAAATTATATAAAGTGGTCATATTATACACTGGGAAGAGCCAGCTGTTAAGCTTTGGAGAAATATTCCAATCTGTTTAAGAACTGCAGTCACTGGGGGCTGGAGAGATGGCTCCGAGGTTAAGAGCGCTCTGTCTACTCTTCCAGGGGTCCTGAGTTCAATTCCCAGCAACCACATGGTGGTTCACAACCACCTATATTGGGATCCGATGACCTCTTCTGGCATGCAAGTGTACATGCAGATAGAGCACTCATTCATAGAAATAAACCTAAAAAAAAAAGTTAGAAAAAAAAAAAAAACCAAAAAAAAAAAGTAAGAAAAAAAAAAAGAAAGAAAGAAAGAAAGACAGTCACTGTAAGAAAGCTAAATTAAGTGCCAGGAATGTAGCTCAATGGTAAAAATGCATGCCTAGTATACACAAGGCTCTACATTCAGTCCTCAGTACTGATAGGATAGGTACACACACTAAATCATAAGTTTTAAAAGGTGAGAGGTACCCAAAACTCTTCAAACGATACTCATTTTCCAGCACTCATGTCTCTGACATTTTAAGTCATGGCCACAGCAGAAATATTTACACCACAAAACAGGGCATGCACTCCGCCTCAGGGCTCCTCCTACTTCGTAAAGTCAGTGGTTCTGCATTTATCAGCAGCAGTTGGCAAAGATGGGAGAACTTTAGTCTAGACCTGAGCAGACAAAATGGGGGCAGGAGGCTAACTGTTGGGAGACATAAGATTTTCATTCTTAAAATGTGCCTGGGAGCCAGGCACAATGTCTCATCACCTGAGAGGTGGGGATGAAGGATCTGGGGTTCAAGGTCATCCTCACCTATGTAGAAAGTTTGGGGACAGCCTGGGCTATATGAGATCCTGTTTCAAAATACCAAAACAAAGCAGAATCAAATAAAACATTGATCTTGGCTTTCCCTCTCTTCTGTCAAATCTACAATAGCATTACAAGGAGGAGGCTTCACTGAGTGTAAAGAACTGATTTAAAAAAAAAAGTGTGTTACATTAGTGTGACGAAAAATAGCTCGTGGCTTAGGTTCCCGGCAGGACACAGGTTTGAATGACCTTCATTTCTGACTTCAGACTCAGGGAATACTGCAGAAACAATTTTGCATGAGGATGAACTCTGAACAGCAAACCGTTGGGGCTGGAGAGATGGCTCAGAAATGAAGAGTCCTAGAAACTCCTCCAGAAGGTCTGGGTTCAATTTCCAGCACCCATGTAGCGGCTGAGAACCATCTGTGACTTCAGTCCCAGGGGATCCAATGCTCTCTTAGTCTCCACGGGCACTGCATACATGCAGTACACAGACATGTGGTACAAAACTCCCACACATATAGGTAAAAATGTAAAAAACAAAAACAAACAAACAAAAAATACCCACGCTGGGCAGTGGTGGCACATGCCTTTAATCCCAGCACTCAGAGGCAAAGGCAGGTGTATCTCTATGAGTTTGAGGCCAGTCTGATCTGGAGTGAGTTCCAGGACAGCTAGGGCTGCACAGAGAAATCCTGTCTCAAAACCAAAAAGGGGGGAGGGGTGGAGCTAGAGGTGGCTCAGAGGTTAAGAACAATGGCTGCCCTTCCAGAGGTCCTGAGTTCAATTCCCAGCAACCACACACACACACACACACACACACACACACACACACACCTACCTCTTCATGCTGAATATAAAGGTTCATCATTTAAATATCTCTATATAAAATTAAAGTTACAGGCACATTCTTAAGTAACGTAATACCTATTACATTTTGTTGGGTAAAGCAATATACAATAATATTACTAGAGGGAATCTAATGAAGAAGAACACATAAGGAATATGCATACTTGGCCAAATTTTCAACTGATTCCCTGTCGTTGGCAAATATGTTATAGGCTCCATCGCTCGTCCATAGAGTTCCCACTAAACCTTGGCTGAAGCCAACCATGGCTGGCACTTGGCTTTCATCCTTCTTTGAGAATGTTGAAAAGAACTGTAGACCGTCTTCAGGATAAAGGAAAATGGCATAGGAGCTGGAATTCGAGGAGGCCAGAACAGCCTGGAAGGTGTTTCTCTGTGAAGAAGAGTTAAAAGTCAGTTAACCTTTGTGCAATGCAAACACACTCTCAGAGCATGCTGTTCACTGGGCTCCGTAGCCAGGACAGTGGAAAGGCAGCTGCGCTTTGCCTCCTTCTTCTGCCACCGAGAATGTACAGTCTACATGGAGAGATGGCTGTATGGACAAAACAAGGCCTAGCCTGAGGACAGATGCTGTAACAGAGAGGCAGGGTGCTACACTTGGGTCAAATGAGAAAATGTCCTGTGCTGGGCAGAGCCTGGGTTGGGGGAGGTCCTTGCTGGTCAGGGCATCCCAGGAAAACCTGAGCATCCAATCAGGAGGAGGTCATCTCAGGGACAAACCACCTGTGTACAAGATATTGTGGGCTAAAAACATACCAGAACAAAGGAAAAGGCGAACTCAAGGCAAACATAAGAGTTAGGTACAACCACTGGAGAGGGAGGGTTCATGGGGTTTTGGTGGGTTAGTCCCAAGAGGCAGGCAAGATCTCAGTATTGCTGGGTCAGGCAAAGCACTGTGGGATATGCAGACCTCCCCACAGACTTCTCCAAAGTGTGTCCTATGGAATGCTATGTGTCCTGTGCGGGACAGTGATAAAAGGAGATATGGCCAAAGTTTGGGGGATCGTTCCATTAAATATTATTAAGGCAGCTTCTTCACTAAAGGACTTCTCTTCACTCAGGAGCAGGTTGCTAGCAGAACTTTGATATCTATCGTTCCCTATTAATCACTTCTCCATATGATTAGAAGCTATCTTCACACTCCTTCTCAATTAAAGAAGGGATATGCAGGGAATACCATTTCCCAGGCATAGGTTTGCCATGGAGCAATCTCCTCAAATACCTGGCCTTCTCGACCCCGGATAGTCACAGAAGCAGGTTTAGACAGCCCTACAGATAAGCATCTGCGGGTTGCTGACCTGCAACAAGCAACTTCCCGGATTTTTCCCCAGACTTCCCGTCTTGAGCAACAGCACAGGCACAATGTCCACTGCAACAAGCACAGACCAGCAGCCCAAAGACTACAGTCGACGTAGCAGACAACTGCGTCTCCATCTGGGGTGCACTCACCTTGCCTTCCTGGGCGGTGCTCTCACTGGGCCCTCCATAGGGGGCCACAGATTCCCAAGTGACAACCACCACGCTAGTGGGCTGGAAAGAGACCTCTGGGAAGCCTCTCTGGACATACTCCGCTGCCATCTGAATGATGAAGGGGGACAAGTCTTCTCGATAATACACATTCCCCAGGCCATCTGTTGTGTCCAAGTCAGCCAGGAAAGGCGCCACCGAGCCGAAGCTGGGCGGGAAGGTTCCAGGGTGGGATTCCCCGGCTGGGGGTTCGCTCGTGGCGATGATGCCGTTTGTGGTGACCTGTAGGGAACAGAGTGTGTTTAGAGGGAATGCAAAGAGGAACACCTCACCGGGGAATGCTGGGGTTTGATTTTAAAAGAATCCCGACAAATTCTCCAGCTGGTGGCACTGTTTTCAGAGGCTGTGGAACCGAGAGCAACTGGGGCCTGCCTGATGGAAGGAGCTCCTAGCTCCCACCTTGAGGACCGGCATCTGCCACGCATTCCCATCACACAGACGGAGCAGCTTCACGATGCTTTACAGTACCTTCCCCACTCCGATGGAATAAAAGCTCACTAGAACCATGAGCCAAAATAAGTCCTTCCTTCTTCCTTTAGTTGCTGCTGTCAGGTACGGCGGTCACAGCAGAAACGAGCGTAACTAACACAGGAAGCATTCGCTTCCCCAAAGCTTGTAGCTGCCCATGGTACACAAACAGAATTGGAGAAGAAGATGAGCCTCTCTGACAAAACCAGTGTTTGTCTTCCGGAAAGGTTGGCGGGGGAATGATGGACAAGGACATGACTGCAGAGAGCCTGCTGTCACAGTATGGGCAGGTGGTCCCTTCTGCGACCTCCTGACCAAAATGATGAATGACAGTGATTCGTTGACTGCCAACATGATACAAATTATTAACTCGGCAAAGGTGGTAAAGCCTTCCACACTCGGACTGTTATACCACTGTGGGTACTGGAGGGGGTTGGATACAGCCCCATCTTAGAGGAGCCCACAGGAAGGGAAAAGATACCACAGATGCTAAATGCATGTGTTAAGAAGTACACCTGCATGGGCAGCCATAGCGCCCTCAAGCACAAGACCGGCTTAGTGTTTAGAAGACCAGCTACACTAGTAAGCGTTCCCCACGATGCACACAGTGCCCGATCCTCGGGAAGACACCAGAAGGCAAGGTGACACTGACGCCCATATTTTTCTGGTGAGAAAATTAGGTCAAGTAATTAAGTTGTACAAAGTCACCATATTCAAGTGACATCACTGGATCTCTGACCCAAAGATCTTGACCCCGAAGATGACCGGAGGTTGGCCATCTCAGGACTGTGGCTACAGCTGTCAGCTGTATCAATATCAGCATCCTGCCTGGCCGCACAAGGCCTTGGGTTCAATTGCCAGCAATGTGTAAACTGCGCGTGGTGGTGTATGTCTGCCATCACAGCACTGGGAAGGTGGGGGCAGGAGGACCCCAAGGTCATTCTCGGCTACATAGTGAGTTCAAGGCCAGCTTAATCATGACATGTACATAATTCTCAGAATCTTTTCTAGTTCTTATGAAGCATTGTTACTCCTATGTTTGAGAGGGCAGGTGGAAGCCAGAGGACAGGTTGCTTTCTACTTTATATATTTGTTTGGACACGGAATCTTTCATTCCCCAGAACTTGGTAAGAAGGTTAAACACAGCGGAGCTCATAGCCTAGGCTGGAAAAACAAACAAACAAACAAAGAAAAAAACAATGATTAGAGCTTTGGAACTTAGCAAAAGTATCCCTTATTTTTAATTAATTAATTAATTAATTTACTTACTAATTTATTTACTTATTTGTTTACTGAAGTGCTGGGAATTGACTTTGGGGCTTCACACTCATGTGCTGAACTACGGAGCCATCCTCCCAGCTTCCTGACCTTGAACTTCCGACCCTCCGGCCTTTATTCCCCAAGTTTTATGATTCCAGGTATACACTACCACTTCCTGTTTACACTGTGTGAGGGAATGGAACCAGGGGCTTTGTGCATGCCAGGCCCACTGACCTACATCCCCAGCCATTAAAAAAAAAAAAAAACATCTCTCTTTATAAACGTCTTGGGCTAGTAACTCCTCAAGTGACATGTTTTCCATCCCTTGGCAACAGTAAGACTCTCCTAGAACACACTGACAGTCAGTCTGCAGAGATGGCAGTCTTCAGGCAGGGCTCAGTCCCCTGCAGCTCAGTTCTCAGCATCATTCCCTCCCCCAGCATCTAACATCCCAGCTTCTCTGACCGGGGAGCGTGGGAAATGGCTCACTTTCTCAAGCAGACGCCAGAAGTTGAGTTGGCGGAGACTGGCTGCTGGTGGAAAGTGGTCCCATGGAGACCACGCATAGACAGCTCCCTTCTACAAGACTATTTCCCAGGGAAATGCAAGAATTATCCAACAACCCTGAAAACACTCCTGGAGCCATGTATTCTTTGCAGTCTGGGCACTGGAATGATTCTATTTTCACGAGGCATGCTTGCCTCAGAAATCAAATTTCACACAAGAACCTTGAAACTGGGTGACTATTTGAGGCCAAGATCACACAATTATTAATGTGGAAAGCCGTTTCTGCAGCCAGCTTGACCTTCAACTCAGGCATCTGTGCGAAGTAAGAAAGCCAAACTCAGGCAGGGATGCCAGGAAGCTAAATAGACGGGTTGCCGATGATTCCGAACTTCAAACTTCTCCCTCTAAACTTTTTTTTGGGGGAACTATGTTAAAGAACAACCAGCTTGGGGAAACAATGTTTCTTCCTGTTAGGCATGAAGCTCTTCACCCAGTGGAAATCCGTGCAGCTGGCTGTGGCTACACTCTTTCACCTGTAGCAACTGGGACACTTGGGAGGTATCTTGGTTTGTTTGGTTTATTTTCTGTTTTGTTTTCTTTTGTTTTTGAGAGTGTCTCATGTGTCAGGGGCTAGCCTTGGTTCTTTTGTCTTTCTCACTCTTCCCGTGCTAACTCCCTTCCAGTAAGTAGTCCCAGCACTCCCTGTGGCTCCCTTGACCTCATCCTGTGAAGTAGCGCCTGCTCAGAGAACCTCCTCTAACATCCAGGGCAGGCTCTTTAAACTTCCTTCCTCCTCTCTGCCTAATGTCTATCTCTGCCTCCTGTCTCCTTAAGGCCTGTTTGCAGGCCCTTACCCTATGCAGTCGTCAACCAGGGGGGTCAGTGACTGTCTATCTTAGTCACCACGGCTGCTCCAAAGCTTACACATTGCCTGATGTCTGTGTCCCTTCCCGTCTTGACTTCCTCCAGGTTATAGGGCAGGGACCAGAAGTAAAAGCAATTTCTGTACATGCAGGATGCTTAGGAAATGCCTGGAGTGAGCCCCTTTGAATCACATAGACCAGTGCATAGCAGTCCTGCAGCCCCTCAGCACACGAGGCAACCCACATGCTGAGTCTCTGTTTACAGGACTCCCAGCACAGGGTATGGCAATCCCAGCAACTGGGAGCTAGAACCTGGAAAATCAGTAGTTCAAGGTCATCCTCTGTTACACAGGCCAGCTTGTGCTATATGAGACCCTGTCTTTAAGAGGAAAAAAAAATCCTAAGAAGGATGTTTATACATGAAATGCAGTTTGACTAGATTCTGATTTAAGCCAGTCAGATGAAAAGAAAGAAGCCACATGTGTGTTGACGCCCTTTAGTTCCAGCTTTCAGGGGAGAGGCAGGTGGTTCTCTTGGAGCTCAAAGCAAGCCTGGTCTATATATAGTTATGAGTTCCAGGACAGCCAAGACTACATACACAGCCAGACCCTGTCTAAGGGGGGAGGGGAGAAAGTGAAGAGGGGGGAGAGAGAGACAAGGAGGGAGACAGAGAGAGACAGAAGGAGAGGAGAGAAATTACAGTGTCTAGATGTGACTGTGATTTTCTTGTTTTGTTCTATTCTTAAGGGTCTTTTTTGAGATACATTCCAAAATATTTATAAGGAAATAAAATGCTTAGGATTTACTTTAAAATAACCCATTTTGGGGTGGGGAAGGGAATGTTACAAACATTTGGGGCTATAAATGAAGCAGCCTGAGTCATAGGTCAGTAACTGTTGAAGCTGATTAACGGGTATGTGGGAGTTCACGCTACTCTAGTGTTTAACATTTGAAACTTTGTAATGATAAGCTTAGTTTCTCCAAAGAGATAACTGCTGCATGACTCTTCCTGGGGACATATGAAGGAAAATTTATTCGTGGGTAGGTGGGAGGGCTCTGCCTGCACTCATGTGCACATAGCCACACAGACACATACTCATAAACATAATTAAAAATAATAAAAATAAATTTGTGAGACAGGACCTCGCTATGTAGCCCCCGATGGTCTAGAACTCACTATGTAGATTAGGCTGGGTGAGAACTCAGAGGTCCACCTACCTCCGTCTCCTGGGTGCTGGGATTAAAGGCATGCACTGCCATACAAGGTTAAAAAAAATAAATCTTCAAAAAAATATAAAATAAAGCAAAAAGATTATTCAGTTCAGATAGGGCAGAAACAGACTGAAGAAATGATTCCTTCTCCAAGGAAATGTTAGCAGGCTCATTGTAGTTATCATAGACTTGAGTATCCCTGGGCTGTTTTGCTTAGTTCTTTGTCTTTGTCTCATGAAGGCAGGGGCCATGACAGCCTCAGAGGAAACTGCTTCACAAGAGCAATAAAGAACAGGATTGGGCTAAAGTTTAGGAATGAGGACAAGTGGTTTCCATCGACAAGCCAGCACTAAAGATCTGTATGAATTGTGCCTGGTCTATTATCTTTGCGTGTGTTTTGTTTTCCCTGCTACTGTGGGGTATAATGGACCCACAAGAGCAAACAAACACAAGGTATATACAGTGTGAAATGACTAGCACCATCAAGCCTCCTAACAACTCTGACAAATTTCTGGGGCAAATGGACCACACAGGGACTCAGAGGCCCATGAAGAAGAGGGGAGGGGCAGCAATAAATCTAAACATACACAGTCAGCTGAGATCTCACAAGCCTGCCAAGAACACACCACGGGCACAGGGCATCCTGTTCTATAAGCAGTGCTGGGAAAACTGGGTATGCCCATATAAAAGAATGAAGTAAGCCCCTTGTTTTATGGCACCCACAAAAACTAACTGGAAAAAACTAAACTAAAAGCTTAAATGTAGGCCTGAAACCGTAAAACTCCCCAAAGAAAACATAAAGAAGAGTTCCTTGACATTAGGCTTGCAATAAATTTTGGGGCCGTGACACCCAAAGCACAAGCAACAAAAACAAAAACCAACAAGGGGTCAGCATCCCTGCACAGCACCCCT